TGGTGGTGGTGGTGGTGGTGGTGGTGGTGGTGGTGGTGGTGGTGGTGGTGGTGGTGGTGGTGGTGGTGGTGGTGGTGGTATAGTCAAATATTTTCACCATGATTTGCAAATCACGGGTTGAGGCAGACTCACCTTTGAGTTGGTGACGTCACGCAGGAACGTGGGAGCCGGCTCGAAGGGGTTTTTGCCACTTGAACCCTTCGGGGATTCTGGAAATAGTCTTTTCGGATGCAAACGATGGTGGACAGAACTAGGCTGACATGCGTTGACGGGACGGGGACGTGTCGGGGTGTTTTCATCAGTAAAATCTGTTGCTAATGAAAAAAAAAGAAAGCGAGTCATAATTGATGGCGAACACGATCACCCGTTGCTTTCAAAATGCAACAAGTAGCCTAGATACACCCTTATCCGGTGTATTGTTTCCACCAGCATTCTACCACGGACAAAGACGATGGACGGGGAATGATTACCTACCAGGGGAAGCCAAGACGACCTCTGCATCGTCGAAAGTGGAGGTTTTCGAAGAGGGTGGAGAGGTGGGGATTGTGGTTGAGGACGAGGAGGAAAAATCACAGGAAGGCAGAGAATGACCCGATGAGGTGGGCAGAGAGGGGTAGCGGTGGACGATACGCGACCCACACACGATAGAGGCTTTCGCCGACAAGGGTTCACACGTGGTATCGCTTAAAGTAGAAAAAAATACAGTGTCCTAACTTCGCTTATTTACACAAACCCTCAAAAGCCCACACTTCGTGAGTAAATTGAGCATTTGAAGAACTCAGGCAACTTTTAATCGACACAACCGAAACACAGGACTACCAGGAGACACAAACCTTCTGGAAATGACCGATCCAAGAATGGGTGGGCGTGCGGAAGCAGTGCTTAGAGGCATGTCGAGGAGGAAGTCGCGAATATTTAACTGTCGCCGGCGTCGAGCAATGTACGGCGAGGTGCCGGTTGAGAGGGACTGCAGCGCCGCACTTTCCGACAAACACGCCGTGTCCACTGGCTTACGCGGCGACGCGGGCACCAGCAGCGTTGTCTGGGTGTCGGCGGTCATTGTTGGACGCGAGAGTCGTTCAGTCAAGCCTAAAATGCCAATGAAACCACAACTGAGCGCCTCCAAATCACTGTTCACGACCCTGCCATGTCACGGCTACAATCAAAGAGTCGCCATACCCATCAGATCTCCGGGCTCAGGAATCGTGTAGGCCCTCGCGGGGAACATGCGCCAGACAAAGAGCTGGGCGGAGTCGGAGAGCGTCACCAGACGAGTTGGATCGCCGGGACACCAGCTAGGCACCGACACCTCGCCCGAGTGGCCTGACAGGACCAGGGGGTGCTGGCTGCGTTCCCCCACTGTGTAGATGTACGCTCGGCTGTCCGCACTGCCGCACACCAGGTAGGCGTCGTCGGGGCTGACTGACATTTTTATGTAGAAGGAGCTTGTCAGATGGCCGGTGTAGAGGAACACTTAAAAGGAAGTGATAGCCAATATATCAGCCACGTAAAATAGCAAAAGAAAACAGAACAAAGACGCACGTCTTTCCCAAGAATGATGCAGAAAAAGAACAAATACACGTGGTGGACAAGGCTTTGATCGACACTGAGGTAAACGTATCCGTGGATATCAAAAAATGAACTAACTTGGACGAGTGGATGGAGAATTCAAGTCGTACTCGTAAATGGTGTGATCAAGACAGCTGGCGTACAGACGACTTCTGTGCGAATCCAACGCCAAATCTGAGAAACCTACAAACGAAAATATACGGTGAGAAAACATTGAAAAAAAAATAACTGTGGCAAAGAGAATAAACATCAACTTACCACACTGTTTTCTGGATGTACCCTTGTACGGAAAACAAGTGACCGGTTGAGGGTGCTTGCGACTACACGAAGACAGCTTCCTTACGTCCCACAGTTTGATCACACTAGAACGTGATAACATCATTTAAAAACGCATAATAGGTACGCGCTAGATTGTGTAAAATGTAAATATGACCAATGATCTCTTGTCAATAACAGAGACCGGCATTGGGTTCAGTGAATAATAAAAAGATGCCCAATACCAATAAATACTGCACAGTTTACAAAGACCTGGGGACAGCGATATGTATCGACTTAGGGAAACAGACAAAGGCGGAAGAGGTCACTAAATAGTAATAATAATAGACTGCTGAGTGCCAATGAGAGGAGTGGGGATAATTTGACGCAATGTGCTGGGCACAGGGTTTAAGCCAGGCAATAACGGGGAAGGCGAATAGGGAGCTTACCCATCGGTGGATCCTGCGGAAATAAGTGAAAATTCTTTGGCGAAAGTAACACAGGTAACGCTTTGTGAATCGGTCTAGAAGCATGAAAAGTGGTGAAGTAATGGACACTTGATAAGACGATATGGAAGCTAAGAACGATACACTCATTGATGGCTTGACGAAGAATAATGGAACGCTGTTAGTCGAATGAGAGTACATCAATTACACAATAAAAACTTTTTTTCAAAAACTGGTTATTCCAATCCCAAATAGCACTAAAGTGTGAACAGATTGTTGCCACTGATATTCTAAAAACCACATCTGATTTTCTAATTCATAGTTTTTTTTAAATAAAAAACACTTTTTACTCCTGACCATGGACTTGCGAGACCTCATCTTGGGGCGATGAGGAGACGAATCAGTAGTGGTTGTTGAAGGAATATGACAACCCGGGAGTAGAATAGAGCAACCACAATTTTTGATCCCTAAAAATGCAGATAAATTATCTATGGATCAAGGCAGCAAATCACCATCAGAATTCTGACAATGTGGCTCAGAGCGCAAGTCCCAAAGTCGTATCGATCCATCGCGTGAGGCCGACGCGAATATATCTAGAGGAAACGATAAAGAAAGCAACCAAACAATTACGGTTGTCGCGAGGTAGAAGGGCAAGAGAGCGGACAGACATTGAATGGCCCAGATAAACGCAAACTACTGAACCCCTTTCCGCGTCGACAAGTTTAATTGTCTGATCACCGGAAGCAGTCAGGAACATATTCGCATGGGCCAACCATTTAACGTCGAAAATGGCGTTGTCATGCACAGTATAGGCTATAATAGGATTATGACGAAAAAAAGAAGCAAACATCTTAAAAATGCGTCTGCTCCGTGCTCCGAAGTGTCGTATAGGTGAACTAATCCATCCTCTTTAGCAACAAGCAGAAGGTCTGGATTGTCTACACGATGTAAAAAGTTATTTCCGCAATACTTACAATTAGAAAAATCACAAGCAAAAGGCGGCGATACCTAAGTAGTGTCAATGAGAAGTGGAAGGTCTTACCGAGTCAACGCATGAATGCAGCCTAAATGCCTGACTTCGAAGGCACTCAAAGTTTGTAACACCAAGAGTTGGAATGCATTTGCCTTCAAAAGATAGTAAAAACCCACCAACATACGTCTTGAGTATGTAAACCGATTAAAGGGCTGGTATTCGCGGGCAATAATTTCAGTAAAAACGGACTCAAACATTAAATTACGGGAATAGATGGTAACGTGTGATAAGTCTAAAGCCCACGAGAATCATAATAGCCGGCTTAAACTTGATATCATATTTAACAAAATTAAAACAATTATAGTATTACAAATATTATGCGATAAAACAAGCATAAAAATAATGCAAAAACTTAGGGTGACACTAAGAGGTTTAATATTTCAACTTCAAGTTGTACAACGGATAAAAATACCAAATTCACCTGCGGAAGCTGCATTCCATTGTCTTTCCAGCAGAAGTGCCCAAATTTCAATTCAGCTCATTTTAAATCATTGTGCCTCTTTTTATTATTTACAGCAAAAATCACATTACGGAAGCTCTTTGCAGCATTTACTATTCTATACATTCTAGAACTGTCCTTTTTTGTATCAAAATCCACTGACGTAATTTTAGATACCAATAAACGTACATCAGAAGAACAAGTATGTTTTCAAAGAAATTTACCTTCTTCTACAAGTTCCCACTTATGTCTTAGTTCTTATTTTTTGCCTATATTGAGATTTACTAATTTTGTTTTTCTTAAAACCATCATGACCACTTATTGTGATTAATTTGAATTGATTATTACTTTTCTCGCGCTTGCTATGAATTAAAGTTATTTTATCCTACTTTTGAGCCAGGATATCCTTACGAAATGTTTTATAGTTTAGTATTATTAAGTAGTTTTTTTACGAAGAAAAGTTGATTTTAAAGCACATTTTGGAATAAGCAGGAAAAGATAGAGCCTGGACGTCCGGGTGTTTGTGAAAGTTACAAAACAGGATTTGATTCTGAAGGGCTAGCTGTTCATTACACACATTTGGCTTAAAATTTATAAAATATATTCGACGTGTTTAGAATATATGAAGAAACAAAAGAAGTCCTAGTGAGCACTAAAGCCTAGCTTGTGTACTTAGCACACATATCGGTCTGTGAATTGATCTGCAAGTGATTTATATTAACCGGCGGATATTTTCCATGTCATAAATTGGATTTGCAGAATCATCCAGTTAATTTGTATGAAATTTTGCAAATCTTTTATGATAAGTCAGAAATCAGAATGCAGCTAAATGCCATCTAGCCCTGTCTAATGTGTTTGTATTTGTTTGATAAATCTGAGTGATTCATTGTAATAAAAGTCCAAACTTAAGCCTTCCTTCAGAGATCCGTACTTGGATATTACCGCCTTTACTTTTTTTGCGAATTCTTTGTACTGCAGATAAAGCATTATTCCTAACCTTGACAATATGGAAATAGGTGGCGCTAGTTAATTCAAAATATCCCGTCGTTTTGTAAATCGAATTTTATAGTTAGATGTCATCAGAAATTGGGAGATTTTCTTAGCAGTCTTAAGATTGGAAAACCCTCATGCTCAATTTAATACTCTTTTTGTCTGCTAATCCTCATTTAAACGTGATGTCTCTTGTTTATTCCGCTCAATGTTATACAAGCAAATCGACATCTTAACTTTATTTTATGTGTTAATTTAGCGTGATTTTATTCAAATTTTTGCAGCGCTGTATTTTATTCTACCGCAAAACACTTTGCTAGTAAATAATTCACAAATCAACTTATCTGCTAGCATGATTTAAATTGATTAGTGTCTGTAACATCTCTCTATTTGTAAAAATTTGATAGGAAACTTTAAGACTTTAATGCCAGCACTAATGTGTCTAAATAAAAGCGCCAAAAACTAGTAGTTTCATTACTGTTGAAGATTTATTAAGCTTAAATTATTTTGAATAAGTCTCTGAATTGCGACTGATGTCTTGACGAAATTTAACAAGGCACCTTTGTTTGGTTGCATTAATTTTTTTTTCCAGAATTAAATAGGGTTTTTGACTTTTTTGGGTTCTGGAAAATCAGTCACTAGTGCCTCATTTCCTATTTTTGTGTGCACACACCCAAACTTTCCCTACGAAGAAATTAACTTTCTCCTTGGCTAATTTAGACAGCATAGGTTTACCCATGAAAGAACGCTTCAAGATCATATCTATTTTCAAAATGGCCGCATTCATCCAAAAAGGACCGCTTGCAGGGGGTGTTAGGTGACCTTGAGTGACAGCTAGACGATTATCATATTGTATAAATTTTACACGCTTTCTTGTAAAGGATAGCTAGAACTACAAGACAACTGCAACGTAACCATTTTCTTAGACATTCTTGTGTGTGTACCTCGCCCAACCTACTCGTTTCATTCATTTGGCTATTTAAATGCTTTACCAAACTTTCTTGGTCAACGACGTGGTTGAGGTACCTAGCAAATTGTTGTGTCTAGGCAGCGTTATCAAACAAGAACAGAGTGAACACCCCACAATTGGATTTACCAGCCTAAAAAGTACATTTTGAATTTAAAAACTTTGGTTTGCCGCCAAACTGGTGGAAAATAATTTAAACAAACCAACATTCATTCCACCTACTGAAGAACGGCAAATAGAATCGAGGTGATTAAAATTATAAGAGCTTAACTATCATACTGCATTATTTTAGCAACGCTTTGAGAAATAACAGAGAACATGAGGCGAATTTGCGACTGCATTTTGCCGGAATTGTCATTTCCAACCAGCACACTATAGATTTTTACATAAAAAATTTGGTTTGCAGCCAAACTGATTGGTAGAAGTTAAACAAGTCAGCAATTATTAACCTTTCGAAGAAGCAGGCAAAAACGCCAATCAGGATCGAATTAGTCAGCAACACAATAACCTAACCATCGCACCGCATCATTTTAGCGATCTACCAATTAATCTCACCTCAACGCGTCGAAAAATAACTAGAAACATGAGTTGGGTTAACGGCCTCATTTTACCGAAGCTGTAATCTAGGGAAGTTCTGGAACACAATCAAATTCGTAAGTATGTCTTGGAACTAGGTTGGTCATGGTTAAAAAGCAATCAAACCACACACCAGGCGGTTATTTAATTAATGCACAGAGCTCGTCGTGGTAATCTGACTATTTGGAACAGCCTGTGGTTATTTACTTTATAACTAAGTTACTGATAACACACATGGCTTTTATTAAAATAACGCCGTGTGTTAATTTCCCTGACACTAAAGCCTATCGTCTCAAAGTTTCCTCAAACCTCGTTCCATGACATGTTTTAATCGCACATTAAATAAAAACGCCGACCAGAAATCAGGCATTGGTTGATGCTCTGCAAGGAATCAGGCAGTTGCTTCAGGAATGCGGTCTGTTACATCTGCCAATCATTCAAGATTTGCAGGTTCAGACTTTAGGGCCGGACTGGGTTGGATGCAGTCGAGAATTCGTTTGAAGTAGAATCTGTTAATTTAAACAACTAACAGATGGGCCACTGGAATCACCCATTTTCCATTAAATTTCTCCCCAAATGTCTCAGGATATGTTTTAAAACCAGTAAATCGGAATGCAATTTTACATTGGCAATTAAATCGTGCGCCCTTAAAGCGACATCGCTGATTGGTGGATGAAGATACAGAGTGTGTTTTAAGGAAGTAGATTGCTGAAACAGTGCATTTATTAAAGGAACATGTCTGAAAAGGAGCAACCGAAAATTGAGCTTCCTAAAACGCCTAAACCCTCTCCGAGATTCTGCCAATGCTCCAGCCTCATTTTCGTGATCCTCCTTGCTGCCATTGGACTGGCCATTTGGCTGGAGTACTGTGTCCCTTCTAGTATCGATCCGATTGAGTTCCATCTCCCCCCACCACCGCAGCTCTCGGGCAAGTTCATGCTGAATAACCGGCTCTCGGCGGTTGAGGAGATGTTTGCTGGAGCTTTCGACGGTCCAGTGTCAACGGCCTTCGTCAGAGGTAACGTCGGTGTCCCCGTGTGTTATTGATTCTAGGAATGCAATACACTGGAACCGCCAACGGAACCCTTGTGAGAACCGATGCTAAAGGAGCGCACATTTACGGTCCCCTTGTTGCCAGTTGCGGTAAGTCTTCGCGTGTCTTCAAATGCCCACCTTAAACCAATGAGAAACCAGACCTCAACCACATCACTGATTCGAGTAGCTTTGATCAGCGTGCTAAATCGAAACGCACTCACACAAAGGACGTCTGCTTGATTGTAGAAAATTCGCCGTGCAGTCGGCCACTGGGACTTCGATATGACGCCCCAAGAAATCGTCTGGTGATAGCTGACGCCTATCTGGGCGTCTGCAGCGTTGACCAGACCACAGGTAAGCGTCGAATCTTGTGGGTGTCCAATTTGCGATAGGTGTGGTACAAAGGATTTTCCCGTTTCCCGGAGACACTTCCTTCAAGGTCACTTTCTTCTTTGACCTTGACGTGCTCCCAGACGGCAGGATTGTCGTCTCTGAGGTCAGCACGAAATACGCCCTGCACGAATTCACCAAAAACGTGGTAGAGGGACGACCAACTGGACAGTAAGTGGTCGCTGCCTCTATTCGTGGGCTAAACTGGCAAAATGTGCATTTTTTCTAGTTCTGGACACATTCCGCCACGTAAATCCGTCTTTAAGGATATTTCATTAAACCATCAGCTGAAGTAGTTTTGGCATTGAAATTCTGCCACATAACCTTCAAAATTGATGATCTAACGCCTTCAACTGCTTGCCTTAGTTGGAAAGTAAACACTTGGTTGTCATTGGCAACACAGAACAACCTTTTTTCCCAAAAAGTATTTCCAGGAGGCAGCTTAGTGAGCAGCAGCCAGAGCGCAGGTGAGCACTGCTCTGTTCAAACCTGGAAGCAGTTATCAGTTATTGATTTCGGATATCTGTGCTAGCGACCTGGATTGCCGCTGGCAGAATTTGTCTTCTGATTGTCCTATTTCAGTCTTCTGCTTATCGATCCGGTGAAGAGGAAGTGGCAAGTGTTGATGTCGGGCCTCTACTTGGCTACCGGGGTCCAACTCCACACAGATGGCCGATCCGTGCTGCTGGGCGAGAGTGGAATGTCCCGCGTGTGGCGAATCGCCCTCGACGGCTCAGGTGCCTCCCAATTTGGACCCATTCTACCGGGACATCCTACGAATGTGAGGGCGTCACCCCGAGGGGGCTATTGGGTACCAATGACCGTGTCCAGACACAAGAGCGCACCGCATATGCTGGACCTGCTTGGCCGATGGCCAAAACTGCGGGCAAACATTTTCAAGGTGAGTTCCAGTAGCCGATAGACCAAAACCTCCCCTCCCCACCTCGTCTCAGCACGACCAAAACTGTCGATATCTTGCTCAGTTGGTTGCCGCCACTTCGTGCGTTGGCGTGGAACTAATTTGTTGTTAGGCTGTTGCCCTAAACGCCTTGAAACCAGAAACAGTTTAATTGCTTCCATTTGCTTTACTTTTTAGCTACTTAGTGTTGAGCAGGTGTTCCAGTTCGCGCCACGGAAACACGCCATTGTAGTTAGGATCGATGAAAACGGACGTATTCTCGAAAGCCTGCACGATACGTCGGGAAAAATTACCTTCATGACAGAAGTCTCCGAACACGAAGGCAGTTTGTACATCGGGGGAGCTTTCGCCAGCTTTATCGGTCGTCTGACGCTTCAGTGAAACACGTTATGAACCGTCTCATACTACTTATTAAATTGACTGCATGAGTATTTTTGACAGGAATTGAGGTCTAATTTCCGCTGCAATACACGTCGGCTATTTCAATGCGGCACTCTTTTAAACTATTGAACTAAATGTTGCTCCTTCCACGAATTTAGCTATAAAGTTGGGGCGATTTAAGGGTTTTGATTTAAAAAGTAGTAGCAATCTTTGGATCTGAATTATCGTTTGTGGAGCCAATCACACGTTGTACAGTAGTGACCTCCACTTCGTGATTTCTATCGAGCTTGAGTTGTATTCATCAACGCCAGCAAATGTTCATAACCAAATTCGATACGCATTTTGGTAATGTGAGATGTAACCTTGCTCGTGGTGTACTAGTAACCCCCTGCCACTTCATGAAATAACCAGCACGGAATATTCATGAATTAAATGGGTTTACATGTAACCGATTTTCATGAGGTGGCACCCTATTGGTCGATTTCATAACTGCAATTTCCCAGACTAAGCTGAAATGAGTGAGTCTTTTAATTCACTAACACAACTTTTTTGAATGGTCGTTTATAAAAGTGCGGACGCAAAAGTGCGCAGTTACACTGAATACTGAGTTGCAAGGACTCCATTCATGCTCACAAAGTGCACGCACATATATCTCCTTTTTGGACAAAAATGGTAGTGACCCTAGTTACGACGGTGTTCATCCGTTTACACGCAATCGGATAGGTTAAGGTACAAACGATTGGTGTACTTTGTTGCTATGGAAACATAAAATATTCGACGGTAGCAGCTTTAGAAGGCCCACTTTCTCTGACCCCCATGGAATCCAGCCACACTGTGGATGACGAAAATATTGCGATTAACCGTTAGCTGAACAGTTAAGCATCAATGTGTCTTCGTGCAAGAGCCAACAAATGAATATATGCGTAATTAACCAGCAGCCAATGAATGTCGTCGTGATCAACTGGAGCATCGACCGTAAAAATAAGCTGATTGGTCTGAGCTTTCGCTATGCCAATCGATTGCCAACACGAGTTAGCGTGACTGGATTTACCACAGAATTTGATCAAGATTGTCCTCTTCAAATTTACGGACGTTTCTTGACATCTAGACAGGATCTTATTCACAATAAACTGCATGATAGCATAAAGGACAACAAGTACATATCACGTGACTGTTGGTCTGTGTTGTGTTCAAGTATCAGGAGTGCAAATGTGTTGTGTTTACGAGGAGGTAAGCCCAACAATAACAGGTATCAAAGAGAACTAGTTACAGACACGAGAATCACGTTCCAACATGCAGAATACGAGCAACCAATGAGGGTAGGGACTATGTAGGACCTAAAAGTTTTAACCCTAGCCAGATCAGAGTTTGGAGTGGGTGTGACTGAGGCTAAGGCAGATCCCGTAAATGTGTGGGATCGAAAAATTCCAATCATGGTAGAAAAGGTGTGTAATTAGGTGTTGCAGTAGATCCTAAAACCTTCTAGATTATGCCGATCTTCACCACTCACGACACTGCACCAAGTCCATGATGGTTTAGCAATGCAAGGGTACTTAAAAATTATGGAAGACAGCTACTAATTCGTCATTCCGATTCTGCTGCGGAAAAAGCGTTTCACAATGGAAATGAGAAAGATCCAGTTTTAGCAGTTAGTAGTTAACTGAGTGAAATAAAAAAAAATGACCGTGGTAAAATGGGGAGATACATGAAGAAATTAATGGTTATGCTGATAATGATGGTAGTGGTGAATGACATCTTAATTCGTGCGGTGAAATTATATGAGACCTTTCTAAAGACTGCCTGGGCATACATTAACGCCAACTACTACTGGGCGTTCATAGCTGGAATCATCAGGTATCTACTTCTAATAGCAACTGATCTCAAATCGGATGTATTTATAATTAAAAAGTGTGATAAACGGCATGGCATGCTGTGAAAGAAGGGAATTGTGTCGGAAACAGGAGTGACCGAATAAACGATTCATAAGACGACTCCAGAATATCGGTACACATGATCTAATCTTATCAAAAAAGTACATTGTGCAATATTTCTCAATATTAACCCTTTTGATATGATCTGGGTTTGATAAAGCATCTGTTTTTTTTGCTATTTTTAATAAAACATCTATGAAAATTGCACCATTCCACTGAATGAACCAATACTCGTTTGTCATTGGTTCGAACATTAAAAAAAGACTATTTGCAAATTAGTCCGTCACCAACACAACAACCAATCACCGACCGCGTGCATTAGGAACGCCCACACAAACGAACAGCATATTAACCGCCCATGTGGAGTGGAGTCGAAGCGTGTTTACCTTGGCAAGAAGAGGCACAGGGCAAATGCTCCAAGACCGAGCAAATCCAGGACGTCCTCCACGAGGAGCAACGTCGAGTAAGCTCAACGACCGACGTGTTCGAAGTGCTCTGGTCAGGTATCGTGACGAGTCGCTCAGGGAGCTATTAGATTTCTCCGCTGAAGATTTAACCGCCGATTTAAAAAAGGTAATTGGTTTACGAGTGTGATTGATCCTATTGGCTGATTTGAGAGTGTTTTGATGACTGACCGAAAAATTATTTTAAAGGTTAGAGAGGACACCCAGTGGGAACACTGCTCCTACTCGCCACTGATAGCCCGCGCAGTTAAATTCAAGAATCGTAGTGAACGTCAGCGGTTGGAGGTGATTCAGCTCGCGCTGGATCGTCAGCTTGAGCGAAGGCTAAGATGCATTGAGCTGGATCGAATCGGGCTCACTGATTGGTGGCTCAAGGTCACAGTCCGACCTCGAACGGCAAATGTACCCCCTCAGAGACTGGTGTCGAGGTCGCAGAGACCAGGGCAGGGGATCCGCGACTTAGGGAAATTGTAACCACCCCCAGGACAGCCCTTAAACACACACCTTCTTATTTATAGTAAAATGCACTTGGGAGCATAGTTAATTCAGCTTCATCACTTTTTACGTCCTTCTACAAACCCCGTGTTCATAGACGAAAAATTGAGGTTGAGCTCATCTCGCCTGGTTTGCGAGAACGCCCTGCCTTGACGGCGTCCAGCAAGAACACAAGGAGTATTATGAAATGCACACAAAAAACCGACTCCTTGTCTGAGGTACTTGCCAGACACAGATCAAATAAACGATTTTTCACCACCTCCTAGTTCGTAGCATATGATCCTTTATTCCTATTAAGACAACGGGGTAATTTGTGACAGAGTTAAGGTTCAATGTATTGTGATCATGAAAACGTAGTGTCCGTATATCAAATTCCGAACACCGCAGTCGTGACCATGGGCAGGTATTTCCTCAATATGGGCTTATTTTTTTCTAAAAAAATTGTAGCAGTCTTGGCGAGCACATCAATTTCGACGCGCTAAGCGAACGGGCATCTAGCGGAGCCGGGCTCAAGAGACTCAACACTAACAAACCTAACAACGTGCGCGAAAACGCGAGAATTCACGGGATTTTTGGCGTCACAATGTGCGTAAGTGATAAAGGGCTGAGAAGTTACACATATCGAAGAAAACACACATCACTAACACAATTTTAGAAACGAAAGCATCCTGAGTCTTCGAAACTTTTTTCTACAATACAGGAGACTCAGTAGGTTACAAAGGGAACAAAAATGGTGAAGGGACTGTGCATTCGGGTGATAATGTTAACGGCAAAATTGTAAATTCAAATACTAGGCAAAGCATCATGTTGTGTAACTGAGCACGCGTCCATCGGTATTTACACTTCAATTTTTGTGGATGCATTGCAATTAATACAGGGTTCGATTGGGCCGACTGTAGCCGAAATGTTTGGTATCACAAAAACATAAATTGCGGTTCATTCACTGATTTTGTTCAGGCTAAAATAAAAAGAAAAACAGATTAAGTGTAAGTTCGGAAGGCAGTTATGAGAACAGGTTGACGGCTGAGAAGCTTCTAACCAATTGGCTCGAAGCAGAACCGTGAAATGACATAACTTTCTCTGGTCAAAAATTGTGGATCAGGGACACATGGTTCTCACCGGTTGTTCTTGACTATCCATTGATGCCGGCTCGTCAGGGACGACTTCGTGGGGTGGCGGCGGTGGTGGTGGAGAAACGGTATCCCCAGCCTCGCCTACGTAGACACCTTCAGTGTAAGCAAGGCCAGTCTTGATTTCCTGAAGCTCCTGTATGAACGACTGCATTACGGCCTGTTGCATAGTAACGGTGAGGGTGTCCCAATTGTGAATGTACGTCCAGGGCTCTTCCAAAACGCGCTGGTACGCAAAAGAATTCTGCAAGCAGGAGATGTCCATGTGAGGCACGACGAATTCATCATCGTGGTCTAATAGCGATGAAAAAAAGGTGGTAGTGTTAAGAATTGAGCAACAGTATTTTAACGCCAGCTAAGCTATACGTCGCAAATTCGCAATGCAACACATGAAAGGATCAAGGGAGGTATTGGTCTAAGGTGATATTCTCCAACTATTAATTGAGGTACAAGCAATAGTGAAAATAATAAACTCCGAAACAACTCTCATTAAATAGGAACAAATGGGACTATGAGTAGTGCCGCAAAAGAACGCAAGTCAACAACAACAAACACCATGGAAATTGCGGTAGATTTGAGGCAACATACAAAGAAAGTCACGATAAAGAAAAGACACAAAATCTTGCCTACACAATCTAACCATACTTAAAACAAGTGAAATTGTATTAACTTACAAGGCCCAAACTAACGTCATGTTGGTGTGGCAAAATCTAGCTATCAAAAATGGGCGAGCCGATACTTAAATGGACACAAAAAGTGGAAAAACGCGAATAATAAATTACCGAAATTGCCATTTGTTCCATTGTTAGAGTTTGAGACAGACCCCATGACAGACAGCACGAGAAACGTGAATAAAGTTGGATGAACCAATGAACGTTAAAGCCCAAAGTGATTGAGAAACATCATTAGGTTTTGATGTGATAAAACAAATCGTGAAATAACCATATCATGATGACTTTAAGTAATTTTTTTAATGAATGTAATGTTAAAACATTTGGAAAAATCGTTTTAGCGAAACGCCGTGGAATGTGTCGCGGGGTTTGTGGGAACACGAGGCTGACTGAATTCATCTTTTTCATTGGTGGGTTCTGTGTGTTAAAAATGGATAACACACATGGTTATAACTTTCCGCAAGTACAGCGCAAATTTTTAATTCCGCTAGCGGAAAGTGTATGAGAATGCATATTTATTTCATTAATTTAAGTTTTTAGCAGTTGCTGAGGATTCATCATCGTTGCAGGAGTTTTTAGACTTTGTTATTTGTGATGGAAAAACGAATTGTACTAAAGAAAATGTGAGGAACTGGCGAAAGGACGCTCTAAAAGGTATGGCTGCTTGAATTTTGCTATTTAATAGCTTTGAGGCTGGCTAATGCTAAAATTATGATGACGGAAGATGTCCCTGAAACACCCAGGGAATCAAAACGCATGCTTGATGCTGACGAGACCATGGATACATCAACGGATACTTTAGCACCAAAAAAACCGAAACTTTCATCCTTTTCGCGTTTGTTTACTGTGGATTTTTGACTTTTTTCCTAGAATTAGCTATTTCTTGTTATGTGCCTACTTTGTCAACTGCAGATATCGCCGACACGGTGCCTTCCAGTTTACTGGTTTGATATACGTTGTCTTAAACATATCTTAAATTAGAAACAAGCAAAGATTATCCTGAAATGCCACTTATTCTCAACCGACCTACCTGATGTTTGGCCTACTGTTCTTCTCAACGGTCCACCGTTTTGTGGCAAAACCACTCTCATCAAGGCTATTGCAGGGGTACATCACTTTGGACCCTTCTCTATTTTTAGTAGACTTTAAATGTAAACTTTCTTTCAGTGTCAGTAGGGATGCTAACGCCAACTATTCGCACGTGGCGAGAGATTTTCACTCAAGCTAAGGTTTGTTAACTAATTGTTCTTCTAATCAAATTCAGACAAGTGCTCCATGTATTCTCCACATTGATGATATTGAGAGCATGGAAAAGCAGAATGCACCTGCTGGATCCTTTCGGGTAACTTGTTTGCTAAAGAGCCAGCTTCTTTCAGGTGACCTTTTCGTAGTGCATTCTCCCTTGCTCATACTGAATTAGCCTATTATTAACACGCTTGTTCAACCTTTAAGAATGCGTTGGTGCGGGTGTAGCAGTTGTCGGGGAAACGCGGAGTCTTCTAGCAAGCCTTCCACAACCTGTTACAGATTTATTTACGAATCGTATTACCTTTGGTATGATGGAAGAAAAATGCCGTCTGAGGTGTGTGTCCGTCGTCTTTCGTTTGCTTGTTACGCCCCGGAACCTTGTCCACTTAAGTCCTGCTCCTTTTTTCCAGTCTTTTATCACGATTCTTTGTCGACGAGCAACAGACTCACACGACTGCGCCTAACAACGGGACACCAGCGTTGGAAGGGACTAGCACAAAAGCGAAATCTCCACTCCAGCTTTCGGAAGGTCTGACGGTGTGCGAAATTGCCCATCGGACGCCAGGCTATGAAGCGGGTGACTTGATTCGTCTTGTTTTGGCTATTCGAATGGAACTTATGGCTGAAGCAGAAGAAGCTAGCCCCGACACAGCTACCGAACCAGTTAAGCTCCCCCTTTCCCGTTTATATCATTCTTGCTTTTGATCGTTTACTCGCATAGTGCAGTGTACGTTGTCTGCTGGACACTACATGGGTGATGATTGAGTTTTTGGTTGTGAAACTAAAAGCAGTCCCAATCTGACCCACTTGTCACCAAATCGAGGAGGTGCCCATCATAGGAAGCACTGGACTGTCAAAGTTTACTTAATTGATTAAACTCGTGGGGAAAGTAGTTAATTGCAAATAATAGCACTTGCGCGAATTAGGCCGCAGCAAGTTCCACGGGGTCATTCTGTTTCCTTGGTAATCCGCGATGCGACGACTAGCCTTTACACAAACGCACCAACCGCGCCCGGAAATTGCCCAAGAAGGCAGCGTAAATGAAGCAGTTCACTGCGTAGGCTATGTCTTTTAAGGACGAGAAGAACTTGCTCAGGTTGATTACCTGTGTGGCGCGTGGTGTGTAGTCTTCGCTGTGATGCAGGGTGTAGTGCAGCCTCACGAGCACGACAAATCCCAGTGGGATGTACAACAGAAGGAAACAGGTGGTCATCGCGAGGTGGCCGGTGATGCGTCCAACCTCTTGCGCGCCTCCACTCACTCCCGCCGTCTGCCGCCACTGATGGGCCCGCCAGAGTCGCAGGACAATGACCACGTTGAGGGCGAAAACAGCTATAACTGGAATGAAGAAGGTGACTAGTGTTGTGGAGACGATGAAGAAGTCCTTCAGGATGGTTTCGTTGTGGACCATGCGACAAGCTGTGCATCCGCCCTCCTGCCTCTCCAGGGTCTGCACGACTAGCGTCGGTGTGTTCCCGATTGCGCCGATGAATACGACTACAAGACACGCGATAATCGCTTGTCGTTGGTAGCGGCAAGCATGGTACTTGATCGGATTGTAGACGGCTAGAGTCCGGTCAATTGAAAACACAACAACCAAGTACGACGCCACGAAGTACATCATGCGGGGAAGGAATTCTAGCAGCTTGCAGGCTGCCTCCGAGGTGGCGTCGAATTTGAGGAAGAACCTTCCATCTGTTGCGTAGGCAAGGCCTCTCCCAAAGAAGTCATCGATGATTGTGTTGACAATTAGGGAGACGGTGTGGGCAATGGCGAGACTAATAGCAAAGACTGAAAATCGTGTTCTCGGCTGCTCCCGGGCAAAAGTGGCGATTATTAGGAGGTTTCCAGTTATACCAGCAATGGCAATGACCGGTGATACGTAGGCCCTGAACATGCCAACTAGCTCACTGAAATCCGACGAGTTTGTTACTAAGGCACAGTTGTTTGCGTAGTGTGCACCGCCCGACATCCTTGCAAGTAATCGCTGACCTCCAAGCGAGTAGTGCTCGCTTGAAAGTTTGCATCAGCTGACTGGTTACAGCTTATTGGCTTGATGTGCGAAGTTAGCTGGTCACTGCTAGGAATTTAGATGTAGACAAGAATTGTGCGTTTCTGTCGATCAACTGAACGTAGTGCGATCGGCCGTAGCTGTTTCATTTCAACAAATATTAACACCAAGTGCGCTTTCCGTCCTCCACTAACTCCGGAATCGGTCTCACGTTTTTAGAACCAATCAGCCAATGTCGTGACAAGGGATCTTGTGGATATTGCTTTATCACAGGTCATACCGGCTGTCAAAAACACCTCCGAGTTCGTCACAATACCGGACGTCACGTGGGCCGATGTCGGTGGGTTGGAGGAGACGAAGACGCACCTTTACAATCGCTTCATGGTAATGTTTTACCTTTCGCATTTTTCGCATGTTGAACTACCGTTAGTGAACAAAAGACCGGCTTCATAGGCACTAGTATATGATTGATGTGTTCTATAAGCTACTCTGCCTATTCAGACGCTTTTGGGATTCTTTCCTTCGGTAGAATTTAAACGCCAGCCTTAAACTCCTTTGGCCCATTCATTGCCCTTTGCCCACGTATGTATACCTGTTGCTAACAGCTGCAATCTTCGACTATTTTAGCTCCTGGTTGATGACTGGGAACGCGCACAGGCTCTACGACGTCGTTCCAGTGGCATTCTTCTTGAAGGTCCGCCAGGTTGTGGCAAAACACTGATTGCCAAGGCGCTTTCTAACACCGCCGGTCTGAACTTCCTGTCCGTCAAGGGTCCCGAAATCCTGAACAAGTTCCAGGGCGAAAGCGAGCGACGAATCAGGGAGATATTCGAGCGCGGACGCGCCTGCCAACCCTGCTTGATATTCTTCGATGAAATCGACGCCATCTGTCCACGACGTGATGGCGACGAATCATCAGGTGGGTCTTCTTCTTCCTCTCCTTCTTTGCTCTCCGTTGAAATCGGCGTCTGTACCTAACACCGTCCAATTCTTGCCCGACAGGCAGCAGAGTGAGCGTTGTGAATCAGTTGCTCGTGGAGCTGGACGGTGTTGACAAGCATCGACAGGCTCGCGTCTTCGTAGTCGGCGCCACCAACCGCAAGGACATGATTGACGAGGCCGTTCTGCGACCCGGGCGTCTTGGCCTCCACCTGGTCATCCCACCGCCCGCCTCGGCCCGCGATCGCGCCGACGTCCTTTCCGCCTGCACGCGCAAAGCCACCACGCCGCGCATTGAAGGCGGCCTTGAAGTCCTTCAACGGGTTGCCGAGGATCCGCGCACTGATGGCATGAGGCAGGTGTTTCTTTCGTAGTGACTGCATCCCTACTTGTAGCTGCGGTCTTGTGGGTAACTCCGTCCGATTCGAAATTGAGGATAGTTGCACGGTCAAGGCATAGTTTGTTTCGGTGGAAAAGGAGTTGTTTCATTTGCTGCCTCGTGATTTCCTGGTGATGCATGGGACTGAATACTTGCGGAGTGTGTGTTTGTGTTCACGCTCTACCCTACATAACCGCAAAACTGGCTGTATTTTGAATTAAAAATGCTTTTTTTCGTGAATTTGTAGTGGTGCTGACTTAGAAAATCTACTGGACACGGCTAAGCAAAACGCTCAACTGGCGAAAAGGGACTTTCTTATCAAGGAGGACTTGGAAACTGCTCTGGCTGAACTAAAGAAGTGATTGAACATTTGTGACATTGTACAGTTCGGTTTTTTTCCAATAAAGGACACTTTCACTGCGAGCTCCTCATTTGAACATCTGGTTCTTCATCTGCATCCTTGTTCAGAACATAAATCCAATTAAACTCGAATTTGCCTTTGGTTGTTCAGCTATATGTATAGTGGAGAGGTTAATTGTTTTGAAAATCCAATGAATCCTGTTAATCGTGCGTTCCAAAATTTATGCCTTGTCTTAATTCCTTATTACCAACGTCGATAAAATGTACGGTAATCCAAACGGCCGTTTTACTTAAAGCGTATTACAACAATCCACGTTGTTTCTTGGGTGGAGTTTATTTACAATCCAGTCAGACTGTTATTTTCATTGTGACATACTATGACATATTGTAAGGAATCGTTAAAAGTGAGAGTTAAATTCACGACACCACAAATGTTCTCTCTACACATCTGGCCTGCGTATTTATTGTGGACCTCTCATAAACCGTATTTTTCCAAAGACCTTTACTGATGTTCGATTTTCAAACTTTTTTTGTTAAAATACAGAAGTTACTATTGTTCAAAGTTGCGACGTTCAGGGAAGGCTTTCATTTAGACCACTTTAATGTTTCAAATCAGTAAAACTAGTCTCCCATAACCAGAAAACGAATATTGTGAAGCGCGGATTGGGCCACGTATTCAGTGCATTAGTTTGCTAGCTCATGGTCAATTATTTTTACAAAGTATATCGAGCACTTTCTATTTGAAGAACTAACATCTATGACATTTTCTTTAAGCTAGAATCATATCTGCCTCCGCTAAATTCGGGAAAAAAATTGGTTCGGCTGGTTTGCACTACTGTTATTAATGTACAGTTCTCATGTCTAAATTTTGCTTGATTTAGTGTTCTTTGAGGCCTTTCACTATCACCTAGCCGACAGTAAATGTGCTTTAGACTAACATCAGGGACCAACTGATAGGGACCATATTGTGCTCCATTATGAATAAAATTAATTTATAAATCGCTGCTTTATTCTGACAATGTATTGCATATTACTACCACGTCTGCAGAAGCAACCCATTTTCCTAAATTACGCAGTGATTGTCTCATGCTGCGTTGTTGAATTTTTGTTAATGTTTATTTTTAGTTGTTTTTTGGATATGTGAAAAAAAGATATAGTTAAGTATTTAAGGCATTATTCAAAAGGGATTTTTGATCTTCTGTCACCATTACCAGCGATTCTGAAGTCTCTATTATAAGAGAAAATAAAAAATCCGCACATAATGCCTAATTTTTTTTATTTTTTAGTTTTGCCAGGACGAGTGACCAAATTGCTATCAAAAATTTATAACTAGGTCTTGAGAAAACATGAAATGAATATTTGCCGTTGTGGTGTGGCTTTTGCCTCGACCAGGAAAAATCTAAAGGATTTTTATGACGTAGAATCTGTTTATTTAATACCGACACTGCGCTTAGTACTTTTGAATAGTTAAAACTTCGTGTGTCCACATGTCCTTGAATTTTAGTTAAAAGACTGGTCGCTAGTTTAAATTAGCCAATTTGACCATTGGGATTGTATGTCGACGTGCCGCCAAGCGCACGTGCTGTCCAACGGGAAATTCGTCTTTTGTCGTATTTCGTATATAGTCTTTGGTACCTTTGTCAGCCGCAATTATGCTCCATGTTGCTCAACCTTCCGTCGAAGAGGAATGGCCAGAGTTAGGCAGGATCAACCACAAGACGGAAAAGGAAAACCGTAATATTAAACCACCCGGTAAAAGGAAGTGGAAGCGACTCGACGACGATGTTGCACTTTGTAAACCACCAGATTCCGAAAATGCCAAGTCAAACTCTAACGGGGATAATACTGGCAGTAAGACAGATTCAGATTCCAACAGGTCTCCCAATCGCTGTTCGTCTTCCAACTCCACATCGTATGCTCAAAGGGGCGTCGATAACGGGGACCAATCCTCCAGAAAAATCAATGGCCAATGTCCAGATGGCATGTCGAATTGTTTTTTCGTTCAACCGAACTTTGCCGGATTCGAAATGCCTGTGACTATCCCCAGACCAGGATTCAGTAAGCATCATTCCACTTTCATCCACTTCTAGATCCTGCTATCGTTAATCACTATCGGAATTTTGGCCGTTGCATTCAGACATGCTGCTGCAGACTTCCCAATTGCGTTGTTTGTGAATCCGAACGTCTGTCTCGAATCCGATATCAGGTTGATTACTACTTCGGTGATAGGAATTTTGGCCGAGATAGATATCTTCAAAGCAAAGTTACGGAAGATCGTTATGTTCCGATTGATGTTGTGTTGGAATTCCCTCGTATGCGTCAGTTGAATGCTACTCTCGAGGATATAGTGAAGGTTTGGCTTCCTAATCCAAACTTATCCTCTTCTAGGCCTGTAGCTGTAGTCATATCGTGGAGTTTGATGCGCACATGTCGAAAATACGGCGCAAAGACCCTTACATATATCGTCCACCTCTAGTTCAAGTGTCAGGTTTGTTGTCAATTGCAAATAATACTTTTCAGCTCCACTTCTGCACACCTCTCCCCGCCCGTTGTTGGAATTCCCAGACGTCACCACCGAGTTCCCAAAGGCGTCACCGCCTGACACACCTGAGGCTGAAGCTCAGCCCTCGCCACCCGAATTAGTTGTACAAAAGGCGGAGGAAAATAAGGATGCGGCTTGGCAGTCTGTCGATCGCCGTCCTAAGCGAACGCGCAACCGTTCGCTGTGTGAGGGTAACACGGAAAACCTCAAACCTCTACGTCCGGTAAGACTACGTCATTTAAATTTCCGACCTCGTCTACATAGAAACTTGTCTCTTTAAGCCTTTGTTCGGTTTTCTATTCTTGTCGTAGCCACCATTTTTTTAAAACTTTTTATCATCCTAACAACCCCATAAATGTAAACAGACGGACAAATACAGGAGAGAATTATCATTTTTTGGCTACTTGGTTCGACACGTGTGGCATTTACAACGCATTTAAATCGTGTTTTGTTGGGTCAATTTAGGCCCAATCTAGGTCCCGAATAACTTCAACCTGTTCTGATGGCACTGAGACGGATGAGGAAGATCTTCTCAAGTACCTCGTTGTCATTTTGCCTGATCGCGCAACCGAACGCGAGGACAGGCATTCAATATCGCGTTCTTCAGAAAACGTGGCCGGCGAGGCCTCTAAACCAAGCGCACCGGCTGCTGTCGCTGACGGCGCTTCTAAAGGCGTGTTTCGCAGCCTCCACAACACACCCTGTCCCCCTCAGAAGTTGCCACCATCCGAGAATTTCTCATCCGCTACCTCCGGCCCATCCTATCGTTTGCTATCTAAGCATCCCGCAGGTGATCGACATCCGAATCCCGACTATCAGACAAGGTTAGTTTTCTTCCGCTGTCTTTGCAATGCCTTCTAGGAACTGTTTTTTTTAAATCTAATTCTTCGCTATTCCTAGGGCTAAAACGCACGCTGATTTGTCAAGGGAGATTCGACATGGCCTAGAAGAATACAAAAGGAGTGTCTGGCGCCAGCGCTATTCATCTTACACACGTTTTGGATTTGATTTTGATTACGACTTTAACGATTACCCTAGCTCAAGAACAAGCTCCTTCACCGACCTCTCGAGCTCTGATGATCATTTCACTTCGTCTATGCCCAATAAGGTAGGTCTTTGTTTTCTATTTTTTACGTAATTGTGTGCTCAAGACCGTCTCAGAATGCCCCTTCCATAATTTATACAATCCTGGGAGTTAGTTCTTGAGGTAGTTCCTCTTCACTGGATGTTGGGCCATCGATTTCTTGCAGGTTCAAGTCTTATCTGCCGAAGAATTTGCGAACCTCAAGTCCGCTACCGAAGACGCCGTTTCGCACCCAACCACTAGCACATGTTCTGGACCCTCCGCAGAGGCACCGGCAATTCCAGTCGAAGCACCGCCTCCAATTGAAAGCAACAATTACGTGGCTCCGGCGCTGGGTGCCCTTCCCTTCTTCTACCCTGCGCACCTCCTTCCACCTCCTCCGATCGCTTTGCTGAACACCCCCTGGTACATCTCGTCGGCGCCAGTGACTCCTGAAATGCTGGGCTGGGGATCTGGCTTCCACGACGGTGTCCACCAGCCTCCTCATCCCCACCATCCGAAGCCGTCGATTGAAAAGGCCGAAGCTGCTGTGGCCGCACTCGTTGCAGAAGTCTCCAAGGCCGCCTTGTGGGCTGGAGCGTCGGCGGATTTCGATGTGGGCTCTAGCCACACGCAAGAGAGTCCTCGTCACAAGATGCCGCCCACCCCGCGCCGGGTTGTCGGCTTCTACCCGGCTAAGATGAACGCTGGGGGGAAGCGAAGACGCGACGAACTCGATGTGGGTTTCGCTTTCGACATCGAAAAGAATTCTGGCACCCCGCGTAAGAGAGCACCTCGTGGAACCAGCTACTCCTTCTGCGAAAGTACCTCCACGCTTCCCAAGTGTGCTGCTCAATCAACAATCATGGGAAGCACTGAGGAAAAAAAGGTTCCAATCGTCTCGATGGCTAGGTAAATCAGCTTTTAACCTAGTCAATACCGAATCACTGCGCTGCGTTGAGAACCTCCGATGTCAATGGCTACGTCGGGATCGTTTTTGTGATATCTTCTGTGATTTAAGGTCGGGACGTTCGCACTGGCACATATATGGTGGTTTAGAGACTGCGACGTGCTTATGACGCGTCGCTTTACATTATGGCTCTCGTTGTTAGTGACTTTAATGAATTAATTTTAGTCTCATCCACGCTCAGTACAAACTAGACACATTGCAGCTCACTTATTGACCGGTGGTGTGTCTGTAATTGACGTAGTATGCCTTACCACCGAAAGAGTCTATGTGTATTTGGGGATTCCCTCCTGAGCCAACGCGTTTTCTCCCTTACTTCTAGTGATGTGAGTATTTCTGGTACGACCGTGATCATCAGCAGCAACCACCGTCTCCTGCCGTCTCCTCTTTCGCGCCACAAAAGCGGCACCCAGTCTGATGACCCATCCGCCAGCGCAGGTAGCCCCATCAAGCCCAAGACCCACCGAAAACACGCCGTCTCCTTCTCTGTGTCCACTTCTCCCGCAACCGCCTCGCCCTCCACCTTCAGGAACAACGTGGCCGCACAATCCGTGCTCAGGGCGGGTGGGTACACCTCACGGGACTACATGCGTTATCGGGCCGCTTGCCTTGCCGACAGAGAGCGATGCGGCGCCGGCAAGTCCCAGGAAATGAACACCCTCTATCGATTTTGGTCGTTCTTCTTGCGCGACAACTTCTTTAACAAGATGTACAGGGAGTTCAGACAATTGGCTCGGGCTGATGCCGAGGCTGGCTATCGGTATGGCATCGAGTGTCTCTTCCGTTTCTACTCGTACGGTCTGGAGCACAAATTCTGGCCAGCGTTGTTCAAGGACTTCCAGGTTTGTTTTTAATCCTTGTTCTAGTCCCACCCACTCAGACTCGCGTCACCGAATCAACCCCACCACAACACCCCGTTGGTTTGGTTTCTTAGCCTGCAAATCCCTGTGCGCTTGCTACACGCCTTGCTCGATGTCGATTTAAACGGAAGCCCACTTATTTTTTCGCGTTACGGATTTGATTTGTGTGTTGGGTGGAAAAAATTATACTGTCAGCTGCGTTAATCCGATGTTTTTGTAGCAAACGCCGTGAATTCACGCTTACAAGCGAGAACCGAGATCCTTCTTAACACCCATACCTGTATCCCGATCACGTGATTGTCTCGTCGGTATTTTATCACCTCAACCTCCCCACTGTATTCACCCAGATGTGATCTTCATAGCTCCACAAAACCGCGAGATCCGACTTCACTTGGTTTCGCGCGGTGCAAAATCACGTGTTTTCGGTGTCTGGCTCTTGTGTGTGTGTGTGTGTGTGTGTGAAAATGCGGTCAAATGGTGACTTAACACAACCACCCAAACGCGTCTTCTAACATGCACACAATGTTTTTTTATACGATAATTTGTATGCCCGCTTATCGGTGGTTTGTACCTTCGTTGTGCAGGAGGAGACGCTAAGGGACTACGACGCCGGTCACCTGTATGGCCTAGAGAAGTTCTGGGCGTTTCTGCACTACGGCAAGCACAAACCCGACCTCAACCCTCGTATCGCAGAACTTCTCAAGAAATACCGAAAAATCGATGATTTCCGAGTTAACGTGAGTACCTACTTGAACACAGCCGTAGATTCGAATGTTACGATTTGTTATACAGCTATTTATAAAGTCCGATATTGTCGTGTGGGTTTGAGGTGTGTCACGTGGCAGGTTCTTTTACTTGCTTCTCCGGCAGATTTCACACATGGGTTTCATAGTTATCGGTGTTGTTTGTGCGATTTACTTCAGTTTGAGGCGCCTGACGGTTTCTTCGGCTACCGTAAACGTCTTCCATCGACCTCCGCGGATGTCTCGAATCCACCACCTGCACCAAGGCCGCATCATCGCGACCTGATCGTGGTCGCCTCCAAGGCCAGGACAGTCGCGCCACCAGAAAAACCAGAATCCGTGGCTGCTTTTGACAGTGCGGTTAAGGAAGCCAAGGAGAAGGCTCCTCCCGTTGACCCAAGCTGCGCTGAGGTCAACGGAACTGGAGGAAAGCCGCATAGCTCCAAACCCCATGCCTCTGGAGACGGTCCGACATTGACATCTGCGGCCACCTCCACGTCCAAGCCTAATAAACCTAAAAAGAGCGCGAGTTTCAAGAAGGAGCCTCCACACACGAACGCACCTGCGGCTGCCGCTTCACCCCAGGTCGAAAATGGACGGCCTGATCCTGGTGCAGAGACTACATTCTTCGAGAAGGCAGCCACGAAGACCTCAAAACCGCGAAAGCCCGCGAAAAAGCCTCACCACGATCGACCTAGAACCATCACTGCGTCGAAGAAGTCCGAAAACGTCGCTGGCTTGCAGCAACCCCTAACAGAATCTGCTGGACCTTCCGTGTCTGGGGATTCAACCAGCACCCCGGAAACCGCTGATCCGAAGTCCCAGGAGAATTTGGATCCTAAGAAGTCAGATTCGAAGGTCACGGGCCCAACTCCGAAAGCTCCGAAGGAATCGCGGCGACCATGGAAAAAGGTCGGTCCGAAGAGAAACGGTGGAGGCGGAGAAAGGGTGTCTGGTGGCGACCAGGATAAACCAACCACAAGCAAGGAAAAGCCAGCAGCTAGTAGAAAGAAGCCCCACAGCAATCAACCCAAACCGAGGCCTGATGAACAACCCTCCACAGCCACCTCGTGAATATTGGATGTTGTAGAAACCAAAAAAAAGCAAAAGAATTCTTATCGTAAGGACGCAGCTTTCGAATTCGAAAATAATTCTGTCAAGCGCTAGTCACGGATGCAACCTCCTTTCACTGTAAACCTCTTTTATCCATAACATCTATACATACTCCCCGCTATAACCCGCCCCCCTCCCTCCCTTCTCACTTTCGTGGACTCGTCATCACTCCTTTTTGGCTTGTGGTTCTACCTGGTTGTGTGCTCTGCCTTCCGCGTTCTGCGCCACCAAAAACACGGGGCCTTATGTGTGCGTTTGCGTTGGTAGCCTAGCTCCTCATTACTGCTGCCGCCGATTACACCTGTATTGAGGTTTTTATTTTTTTTTACGATTACCGCGCCCCGAGTACCCTCTCCTCATCTCCTCTCCACCCACTTACACATAATCCTTGCCCCCCCCCTCAGACGCGTACGATCAACATGTGGCATGTGCTCCAGTCTGTTTTTCTCGATGCAAATAAGCAGCACAATGCATAAATAAACTGCCTCCTCATGCCTGTTTCTTTTGTACCAAGTGTATGGCTTTTTCAAGCTTAAAATTGTGCCCAAACTAGGAATTTCTGCGGTATTTTGAAGGGAACGGACACGGCGCTTCAGAACACCGTACGACGAGTTAACGATGGCATTTTATACGAATTCCAATAGGGAAAAAGTGTAGTGTTCATATGAAGCGTGTAGTTATTGGTACAAACTGTTTAGACGTCGTAAATATGATCTCGGTGTCCAGCCGCCCACCGGACGGCCCCGAAGATTTGAAGATGCGGAATTTCCAAGCGTTTACACCACAAACTATGGAAACAACTAGAAATCGGAAGCGGAGGGCAATGTTACTGTGATTAAGTTTGTTTTCCCATATTTCTTTGACGTCAAATAAATCTCCCGAAAAATCTGTAAAAATTAAGTCACACGCCTAATAAACAGGTCCGAGATCGGCTCAAGGTGTCACGAGTGTTCATTGATTGGTTTAGTTGGCGGCTTTTCTCGAATTACACGAAGGTCTAGGCGTGCCGCCTAGTTGTGGGCCGCGTAGAACAAGTGTCATTGGTTTTGATTCACACAATTGTCAATTGGTTACCGTGATCTTGACAACGTCTGACGTAATCTAGGGGCCGATTCACAAATGTGCCTTTCGAGCAAACGATCACGTTTCGCTAATCTCCTTTCGTGTTTGACTTAAGTTCACTTCAGACGATCCTCTATGATGTTCGACTTTCCAAATTGGTGTCAAATTACGCTTCAAAACCGAGTTAGTACTCGAGTCAAGACGCGAAGCCTGCCAACGCGTCATTCCATTCTGGCGTCGCGCGCAATGTCCTCACGTGCGCCCCCAACTCGTTTCCCTATTGGACGAAAGGTGTGCGCGCGTAGTTTAATTTTTTGCCGCACGTGCACCAACGTGCTACGTCGCAACGCAGCCGGGCTTTGTGTTCAATTTTCCACGTGCGTGCGTGCGTCATCAACCGCCCCGCACCCGCACAACGCGCCGTCCCAGTTTGAGCCACCTGAAAGCACTGTTTGTAGGTGGAGGCACGTATTTTAAATTTCCGTTTGAATGATCCGGGCCTGATGCCAAGACGCTACGCTATCCGCTTCCGTTGATTTCATCAAAATTAGCACGCAACATTATAGGCTTTAATAACACTATGGGCACGTGTTAGTCGGCCATTCCCACACAGTTTAGCAGTTCTCTAAACAGTCAGTTTGCTCCCCGGAACAACTCAGATTCCCGTAAGTGTAGGCAGCTGGTAACTTGCGACAGTGATGGTGATGATGACGACACTACGCCAGTCTGGGTGTGGTCTTGGCGTTAAAGTTGGCAAGTTCATCTTCACGAACCACATCAATTCACTTTCTGTTGACTTAGAAAGTAGGCGACATTCCTACTTCTCAAAATGCCGAATCCTCATCACGAGTGTCTGAGTTCACTAATACCATCTCATGATGTTTAAACGGTGCAAATGCCACCTCTTGATAACGACTTTTTGTATTTCCCTAAGACGTCTACAAAACGAGCCAAATTGTTTGTAAATTGTGTAAATTAATCAATATGCGTCTTCCTGCAACAGATTAGTCGGTTTAAGGCGGAGCAGCAGGCTTTTCTCGAAGCAGTCGATGCGGAAACCGCTGTGGTCTTTTTTCCTCATCCACCTGTTCTTCATCCTCTTGTGATTTCTCCTTCTCAATGCAGATTGTCTTCAGTATTTCACCGGCTCGACTGTAGAGTTCTTTCATAGTCTGCAAGCAAAATTTAGCCACGTGACAGAATGCAAATCAAGCGCCCTCAAACCAATCACTGTGTCTGCGGGCGACGACTGTAACAACGAACCATGTCAAATTGTTTAGAAAGGTGTGATTTGTGTTTCACGTAGTTGTGGTGTACCTTGAAACCTACTAATCACACTAACTGGAGTACACATAGTCTATTCTGGACAGGTGGAACGCCGCACAGACTTTTGCACTACTCGCCAGCATTGCAACACTTTCCAGCAAATCGAACGTCCAGCCTTCGTGAACACTTCCAAAGTAGGATTCAAAGACTGCTGTTTGAATGTGAGGTCTATTTTAATGGCATCAATTTCTAGTCAGGTGGCAATGTCTACTTCACTCTTAGCACTTCAGTTTAACTTAGCATGGGTCTAAACTACCCTGACGTACAACTGGACTTGACTGAGGAGGTTCGACGCTAGCCGCTGACGTGGTCTGTTCGTCCCTCGACTGGGAATCGGCTCCTTCCTCCTCGGTGGACTCCTTGGACGGCGCTTCAAGAAGGTCAAGATTACGCAGACACTCATCCCCAAGAGGTACTATCAGTGTCTTCCTGGGTGCTCGTCTGTAAATTGACGCCTTCCACGCACGGACCGTCTCTGGCGATGGTGTGCGTGGAGCATCGTAAGCCCCACGTGACCTTGAGCGTACCATATCGGACTCTGTTACTCGAGATTTAACTGTGGACAACTGAACACATGGGGATTAGAATTTGCAACGGACGCCACTTCAACAGGGACTCAAACAAGGGACGTTCAGGCTTCATGTCGTTGCCGTGCGACTACTCGACACTTCGGCTTTTTTAAAACTATGCGTCTTATCGTAAACACCTTCTGATGGTATGCACTGGGTGTGTTTACTGTTCGAAGTCTCGTATATTGAAGACCATTTAAGACATCGGCTACAGTGGCCAGAGAACATGAAAAGCGGAGAGTGGTTTCTCTTAAACAGCCTTTATCGTGTTGGTCAGTGTTGGCACAGACTCGTTTGCATTGGCAAACCATCAGGCCAGACTTGATTCACCGAATGACTGGGCTTAGAATCAGCTATCAAAAAACTGTGCCTCTTTGTCTGGTTTTGTTTCCACGTCTCGGCTTACTTTCGTCCAGTCACCTTAGCAACCCATCCATTTCCTGTCATCCATATGCTTTTTCAGTCTCGATTGTTTCAGCGTCAACATTGGTTACGTGGACCTGTCTGTGTAGCGTAATCAGGATATTCAACTAGTGGACGTCCCGATGTGGGTTATCGCCCTTGAACAAGTTCGTCGTTCCACGACTGAGCCGTCTCGTGTTTCCTGCGACTTCACTGACCCGTTCATTTGCCAATGGACAATCGAGACTTACAGTGGCTACTACAAGACTGCGTCAGCTTCCTGACATTCAAGATGTACAAAGTTGGTAAGATACACCGCGATTGAGACACGGCATTCTGACTGTCGAACGAGTAGAAATTGTACCTTACACCGATCAAACGTACCAATTGGCTCAAATCCGGCCCAGTCACATCCATGCGTGGATTGTCAAGGTAATCGATTATTCGCAACGCCATAGGTCCCTTCCTTTTGGCCTTCCTCTGACCCCCTAACCCCTTGACGCCCTTGATGATGGTGGCGTCGGCTGGCTGCAGGGCAGCAGGATTTTTCTTGATGACTCCCATCTGAAGCAGCTCCGCCTGCCTTCGCCTCTCCTTCTCTTCCAGTTGTCGCAGATGACTCGTCATGTCTACCTACAAGCAAACATCACAAGATGTCGCCACTGAAGTGGGCTATTTGCACAGGCAGATGGCGATTGATGGCCACGTCACGTTTTCACAATCAATATTTTGCAAACCAGCATCCAAAAACTGGTCTAACCCAATTCCAGATATGTGCCCCCAATGTGTTCGCTTATGTATGCCCTGGCCATCCTTGAGTGATGAGTGAAGGGACATAAAGGTAACCTACTAAAACCAGGGCTATTGATCTGTTAACGTGTCGCTCAGTACCACCGGCAACCATGATTCTCTTCAACTTATCCTTGTGATTTAAATGGACCTTAAATTCTCAACAAACGCTGCTCTTTCTGAGGTGACAAACTGACATTCCCTTGACACCCACTAAACTGTAACCTAACAGATAATTTTTAGGTAAGTCAGCTGTTTGGTAGAAATTGAGTTTTTTATCACACGAAGGAATCGAGACTGTCAATGTTTCGCCTTTGTGCAGTCGTGGTTTCGTGTGAAAACATCACAAACTGGTAATTCTCTTGCATTCACCAGAACTCGAGGGAGGGGTCAGTGAATAGGTGATTATAACGCGTCTGACTTATCCGTTAGCCAATTCGTTATTTTGCTTAACCCGCGTTTTTAAAGCGTATGACTCGTGACCTGATAAGCGGTTGTATCTTGCTTGACTAATCAAACCCTAATTGCTCGCGGTACTATCGAGTTGAAGTAGCTGCATGAAACATGATTTCTTGTCGTATCGGAGTGTGCATTCTTATTCATTTATTTATGTTGTCCCAGTTAAACAAGAAAGACACAAACTTTTCCAAATTCTTCCTCCGACCAGCAAACATTGCAACTTAACATTTAAACCGCAACATGGAGACGCACTTGAAGGTCACGCCACTGGAAAAGAAAATCGATTTGCCTCGGCTACAAATGCCGTCAGTGCGTCCTGAATTGGGAGCTGAGTTGAGCCGTGGCCCTGGCTGCGCCACCACCAATCACAGCTGCACGTTTGCGCGGCGTGTGTGAACATTGCTGTTTGGCGTATCACACGTCTACAACTCCACCCCACACGCCATGCACTGCTGTTGTCACGTGATCGCGAGAACTCTTGCGTACATACCCGCGAGATCACAGCGCCAATGTTGATTGAGGCTTTTTTATCAAAATAATTTACGCGGAAAATGCTACGAGGCTTGTCGATACATACGTCAGCAAAGCCATCATATTTGATGACTTGTTGTTAGATTAGAGCGGTCACGTAGCTTGTCTGGTTTGGGGCATCTGTTAGAGTGCTTTTCCGCACTGACCGGTTTTACAAGAATGAGTGATATTTTAAAAAAATGGTGTAATTTAGTATGAATGGCAAATGATAATATTGGGTCCACCGGGAAAGGTGACCGCCTATTGGTCGATTGGAATGATTGGTGGGAAATTCAAAATTGACTGGGCGTGACAAATTAGCCATTCACAGACCCCGTTTTATTCAAACATTTTAGGCTCATTGATCAACCATTTGATATCGTGTATTTAAATTAAATCGGGGTTAAATGACACCGCTTCTCGTGTGAACTCTTTTCACACCTAACACCACAGGTTACCTCACAGTTTATCTCATGAATTCCCTTACACAAATACAAAGATTTTAAACCTCCTCATTTGTCAAAATGGCGTTAGTTCTTTACACGCAACTTCGTGTGCTCTATTAGCTGAAATGTTTCACCACGTCAAGATGATCAGCCGTGGAGTTAATTGATTACTAAAGAAAGCGGAAGTAAGATCTGTTTTCATATCTAGCGTCAGAAGTGTTTACCAAGGTCTCGATTGAAAACAAAGTAATGACGATTGGATCAAGGAAAATATCCTAAATAAGGTGAAAGTTTGGCCTGTGTATAAAATCACACTGCGCGACGACTCGTTAGCATGTTGATCAAACTTGGATATCACCCTCAATACGAAAAACTGCGATGTGGATATTCAGCGCCGTGCATTTTAAATGCAAAGTTGACGTGGCATTGTTTGCCTAAGATATCGGGTGACCCGGTTACCAAAAGTTCTTTTGTGAAAAGTTGATGTGACCTTAATTTGACCTCCACGTGGTGGAAGTCGCATCATGAAAGTAATCATCTGCACGGCTAGAGAAGCACACATGGAGATGTGGGTTAAATCCTGAATGCGACGTCCCCAGGTTCTTTGTATAATTTCATAAACTTCTTATAAAAAACGAGTTGTTTGTTCTGTGATATGACTAACACCTCATTGGTTATTTGCTTTGTGCTACGACTAACACCTCATTGGTCAGCGTGATACTAGGAGTTTCATTCACCGGCTGACAAGCCACACGTGTCCTCCCGTTATTTTCGTGCTAATCTCTTTGACAATTATGCATTTGTGTAATGTCTTACTTAAATGCAATAGAAATATGTGGCTTGGCAAAATTGCGGATCCGATAGCTGCATTCCAGAGAAACTCCAAGCAGACATACCCTGCCCTTGCGAATAAGCAGTTTCCCAAGTTTTTCGTGCCAACTCCTGTTGTTAATTGGAGCGAATTCCTTGTGCAAGAGCTGCCTAATATTTCGGCGTAGGGACTTGGCCGAAGGACGCCTGGAATTGTGGAAAAACGGGACTCGATTTAAGGTACTCACCAAACTGGCAATGAAACAACACAGCAGTTTGTCTGTAGAGTTCAAAATCACTTATGATGTGAAGAGGATTAACTGAAATCACGATGGCTCGGGATGGAATTCATTTTCAGCAAGATAAAATTTCGAAAGGGGAGAGCATTGCGCTAGCATGAGCTCCATTTTTTAACCAATCAAAACGTTATGCCACAAGACGCTCTATTTTTGACGGATATTCGATAAGGAGAATGTTCTGAATGGCTTTGTGGGCAGTGGGCTGTCAACTGCAAATCTAACTTTTTCAAGCTAGACGCATCTTTGATCATGCACAAAGCATCTAAAATTTGCCAAACTTAGAAAGAAAACTTCCGCATTAAACTTTTTGATAGACCTGTCGTGCTTCCAGTAAAACCTTTGAAACTACAGTCAAAGCCTCACACTGATATTATAACTATTTCCAGTTACTATGCCGTAAATTGATTTGCAAGTTACGAGGAGACAGATCTTTTCAGAGGAGATCACGTAGCTTAGTCGCTTCATTTGATGGATACTTACATTTTTAAACGAAATGTGGTTTAAATAGGCAGGCATGGAACCATAAATTCATGTTGTTTTACTAAAACTGCTGCCTTGTATAAAAGGCACGTTATTGGCTATTAAAAGCGTGCAATTATTGGTTTGATGCAATTATTGGTGGTGGGGCTCTGTTCGCAAATGAAATGCAACCTACAGCGATCGTTCGAAGTCGTTCACATTGACTCGATACTCCACCTCGAAGCGTTTGTTGATATCGCGCATGCGTCGTTCTGCGTCACAAACAGGCGTTAACCATTTCCGCCACTTGTCGTAGATACCGGGCACGTGACCGAACTTATGAGTCATGAATTCGGCGGCTATGTGCAGCGCCTCAGCCTATGAAATGAAGAGTGGCGGGTTTGTGCGAATGCCTTTCATTAACCAATTACCAATTCTAATGTCTGTCGCATTTATTTCACGCTTGAATTGAACCAAGAGGTGATTCAGGTCATGTTTAATCGTTAGTGAGAATATTGGGATCCAAACTGCACTGCAAACCTCGTAATAAATAGTAACCTAATGCTGCTGGATTTGACCACGACCTCACTTCTCAACAAAGCTCCGGTAACTTTCCACAAATCATTAAACCTTTGTGTGAGGCCTTGCACTATCTCGGTGGGACAGGACTGCTTTGCGTGCCAGTGCCATTTTATTGGCTTCGGTGGGCGAACATCCTGATTGGTCGTTTGGTTCCAGATGCACAACACTGTTGTCATATCAACTAACTGACAACATGATCTTACCGGATGCATTTAACCTTCGATATGGTTCCTGGTTAGCTCTTTAAGTTTGTACCTTGACCGATTCCATTTCAAGAGGGGCATTATTGGTGAGTTTGAGACGCTTTGGTGATGCGTGTGTGTGTGCTAAATTTAACACCCATCTCACTCACAGTTGTAAAACTACGATTCAATTAAAGCACAGATGCGATTTGTGCGTCATCAACTGCACTCGGCAGACCAGAGCATTACTGACCGGATTTCCAATAAATCCAGCCAAAGATCACAATGGTGGACACGTCGTGGGGGTGGTGGGTGAGCCTACACGTTTACTTACATCGCTTGCGACGTCTGAGTGGAATAGGTCATGCTCGGCTCCGCGCCAAACTGCATTCACGTCAGCTGGAGTTGACCGTCGTTGAGGTGCTCTTGACGCTTGAACTGGGAAAAGCGAATGCATGTGTTAATTTTAGTGTGTTTTAAGACCCTTTGGGATCATTGATCTTCAGGGTTCCAGGGTCATTGTAGCGGTACCTTTGCAAGTTGATTTTTGCTGATATCGACTAAAGCAATGGCATTACGCCTGCATATGGACACTGGAATGCCGGCCAATTTTCCCAGTTTTCTTTTGACCTTAAAATTGTATAAACTGGAACTATTTTCGCGGTCTTTTGAGCTTTTGAAAGCATCGGACGCAAGTTCTCAGTACCCCGAATGACAAGTCCACGTGTGTTGCAAGTGGTAAACAGTACATTCGACGGCACTGCATTTTACACGAATTCCAACAAGAAACAAATGTTTCTATAGCACGTGAATCAATTTTTAGCGTTCTTGGTGTCTTAGGAAACGTGTAGTATTTAGTACACACGTTTTCGAAGTGGTGATTTCGATCTCGGTGACCAGCCGCGCCCCGGACAGCAGACGCGAAGGTTTGAAGATGCGAAATTGCAAGCTCATCTGGACAAAGACTCAACGCAAACGCAACAAGAGCTTGCGACAGCTCAGTTAGGAATCACCGAAACGGCTACTTCCAAGCATTTGCATCAAGTTGGGAAATTCAGAAAATTGGGAGTTGGATCCCACATGTATTGGTCAACGTATGAACACACGCCTTTTACTGCTTGCCCGCTGGCAACAAGCAGCGAATGAACTTCTTGTGGAAAATTGTGACGGATGATAAAAAGTATATTTTTTACGAGAATCGTAAGCACAGGAAGTCGTGGGTAGAGCCCGGGCAACGTCATTTGTACATGACCTTAGAGATGGCGCAAGGTCAAAGAAGACAACGGACATTATTTCCAAAATTAAGTTCGATGTCCCCTATTTTGCATATTAAGTAAATTTGGTCAAAATCTGTACAAATTAAGCCATACACTGAAGGCTTTACGATCTTCTTTTAAGTAAAAGTCCCATTTGGGTAAATAAGTTGACAGGTGTGAAAAAACTTAGCTGACCTTGGATCCGCGACTGAGCATTGGCTGTCATGCTTATTTCATTGGGTGCCTGACTAGCCTGACCAATGCCCGACTGTCTAGTAGCGAACAGCGCGAAAGCACGAAGGGCTCCACCGACGTTCTTGAATTTTTGCATTATCCCCTGGTCTCGATCTTCCACCGCCGAGCTGTCTGCGTAGTCGTCGATAAGCTTGAATTTCTCACTGTCTGCGTCATCAGACCGTCTGCTTTCCAAACTCCAGCCAGTCAGCGGTGATTGGGTGAACTTAACAAAGTCCTGTTTGTGCCATCTCACCGGCTCCACGTTGGTCGTTTTCTCACTCGAGAGATCGTCTTCTTCGAGGTGCCATAGTTTACTGGGCCTCGCGGACATGCTTGCTGTCGCACTGGCTAAAGTTGCCACGTCATGCGCCGATCGATATTCGTAATTCGTTTAAACAAGCGCACTGCTAATCAATATACGAGATTAGGCAAGGATTGAACCATCGGCAACTTTGAATATTCGACGGAACGAAGGCAGTTGCGAAAAGAATGCCACTGAGCATAGCTGTGAGCTGATTGTTGATAACCGAACACAATAACCAGCAAGTCTATTCTGGACGCGAATAAACACACTCTAGGGTGACAGTGCACAACATTGGCGTCTAGCCAGGTTGTCTTAACGTCAAAGAAACATGCTTGGATCAGAATGCCCGGAAGGATATCATGCATTGCTTTCAAATTCCCATAAAACGCGATGACGCACAGGCCATAAGAACTAGACTGCCTGAGAATCGAGACATCGCGTGTAGTCTGACATCAGGGCCAGTGTAATTTATGTCTGGTGTTTTAAAAGTCCGAAAATGGCGCGCCTTCAAATTCGCCCAAATGCACTGATTAAACAATGATTTACTCATCTTTGCTGGGGTCTTGAGCTGAAGTAACTGCACGTTTGCACAAGCCACATTCGGTTTTCGAGGGTACTCTCGCAATGTTATAATGTTTATAAAATAAAGCGAACGTGCACTTCTGGGTGGAGCCCCTGTAAGAGCATTAAAAGTACATTTGTTGGCCATAAACACGACATTGGAGCAGTTAAACCTCGATATCATACATGCAGCCATCTGGTAAATACGAAATGCACAACCAGCTACAGGTTAGTTTCAGCCAGAGACAGCCAACCAATCAGAACACACCAAACTCAAGGTCGCGGTTTGTGGACGTCAAGGCAAACAGACTGTAGAGTACTCGAACTCTAGTAGGGAGAAGACTGGTACAACAGAACAGGCTTTATTGACCAATCACAAGCCAGGGCTTCTGGCTTGGTTCCGCGTACTGTTCATGATTGTTAAAACATCCAATTCGACACTCCCCGCACCCCACATCTGGCAGGATAGTGGTCCGTGCGAATAGTTGACGAGGGACTTTAATCTTGTAGACTTGCAGGAAGGACTCTTCATCCATCGTAGGTTTATTCGCAGTTGCAGTCCAGCCGGCTTCTACTGTCCATTTCGTCGTCGCTGTGTTGCAAATGCCTCATCAGATGCAGCAGTCCTAATCCCCGGCAATGTCTATGCATCCAGTGTATCGGGCATCGGATGACCGCCATGACAACTTCAGCTGGCATTTCAGTGTCTTTGCCTGTGTTGACCATAGAAGAGAAAGGGCTGGGGTTCGATTCGGGTTAATTGAACGCATCCGCTGCCACCAATGTAGAATACACGAACCCTAATACGAAAAAGACTGGTACAAGAGAACAGACTTTATTGACCAATCACCAGCCAGAACCACACGTCATGCGCCTTCCATCCGAGTCCACCACACTGGCCACGCCGCTCATTATAAGACAAACCAAATAATAAATGAAACTGGATGCTTTACCAAACAATGTACCATCATGTCATGACTAAAATTGACCTTTATTGATTCAATCCACCAATCGAAATTCTGTCGCTTTTGAGCGGCTGCGATCAATAAGCAAACTAGCAGCGTTCATTGGTTGGGAAAATTTTTTACGCAAGCGTCTGAAATGAATCCAATAATTTCGATGTTTCTGAACAGGCGCGTTGAAAAAAAACCGCATTTACAGCAGACAAATCCGCTGGAATCCTAATTAACATTCTGGTTCACTCATACGAGAAACGCCATTCATCTGGAATAATTCTAAATATTGTTTTGCATAACTGAAAGCACAGGTTCAGTGCCATGTGCCAGCAAAACAATCACGAGAAAACACCACTTGTGTGCGTAGTTTACGACGTGACAGCCAAGTAAGAAAACACAACCCTGCCTTTAACGACGTCTACTTTTTGAGCCAATGGGTATCACCGAAGCAGCGCAGTCACTTTTGGCCACTTTCTATCGATTTCCAATTCAAATTCGCTCGCTCGTAATCTAGAACTATGAAGTGCCATCTGTAACACCCGAAATCAATTACGCAATCACGAGACAACTGGTATACCGCGCAACGCGTGAGCCAATCGCCGAATGGTTTGGAAGAGCAATTAACTTCGATCATGGCTGCGACAACTGCGTGTACAAGTTAAAACTAGGCGATAATTTGGGTGGTAGAAACTTCTTTTAACAACTTCGGCCAGTTCACACCTCATGATAACCCGCTACTACTACCACTAATATCGATGATAATTGCAAAAAACCTTCTTCAAGGTTTTATTCGGCTAGTACGAACAGGAGCATTTTCTGTCACTTATAATAACAAGGACCCAATCTTTGACTAGTCTAGTTAAAATTAGGTGCGAGTTGGACCGTCATTTGCTTGTCGGCATTCCACATGTGCCCCTAGGTGAGAAAAAGGGGAGGTCTTTGGGAAAGAAATCGCGGTTTTGTCGAATGGAAGTCATACACACACAAACACATTACATTATTTACACATTTAAAGGGATGACGCAAATGCTCAAAATGACGGACTGCCAGATCGCGCAGCGTCCATCGGACCTCCTGAAACCTCGGAAGTGGCACGAATTGTCGGTGACCTTTCGTTGCCGGGTGTTGGAGAGGTGTGCTCATCGATTACAAGGTTTTGAGAGGTGACGCTGACGGCTGCATCGCCCTCTTCCTCCTCCGATTCGTCGATATCAAGGTCACTAGGGGTTGCGTGGCTTCCACGCGGTGACATCTCCTTCTTCACCATCACGTCGCGTCCAGTTTCACTGGGAGAGGCTGGTGCTCGTTGAGGCGATCCCGATTCGTCTCCGACTTGGTCCTCACTACCAGAAGAGTCTGATGTTCCACGACTAGCTACCGGCAATTGTGACACGTGAGATGGCGAAGGTTTCACTGCTCCTGAAGCCTCCGCCCCCTCACCCGCATCGGCCTCGGCAACTTCCTGGTCGCTAGGAGCGTATTCACTGCCCGAGGAAGCGACAGTGCGTCGCCGTCTTTGTCCAGAAAATGGATTGTCATCGTTTTCCTTCTTCTCTACCTCATCCTCGTCTTCAGTGGTGTCGATTTCGTTGTAATTCACACGAGTTCGGGCGCTGCGCCTAAAAATGGCGGAGAGGTAGTGAAACAAGCCGAAACGCATTCCTAATCGTTTCAACCCACAGCCACATCGCGATTGTCGCGAAGCAGGCTCACTTATATTGACGAAGGGATCAGAACGCAGACCCTGAAACCAAAGATATGCACTGGATTCTGATTATGAACATGCGCACCAACCACAGGTACCTACAGACTACAATTTCCTCAAACTTAATCCTTTCTGCCGGTTTTTCGATATGACGAATGTCCGATTAACATAAATTTGTAGTTTATTGGCCTAGAGGACGATTCTTCATAAGCACCAAGCTTGCAACTTTGAATGATCGGGATTGGTGGACCTGTGATTTCATGGGGATTGGTCAAACCAATTCAAGAATCGACCAATACGGTTGTGAGTCGATATTGCCGAAACAAAAGGGCATTTAGATCCAGAGAGGGGTTTAACGATTAGGAAAACAAATGTTCAAGATGTTCTATTACCAAAGATCGCCATATTAGCTCTTGACGTTGGCTTTACTGGTGGTCCAGTAGAATTTGAGAACCAATTGGTGTGGAGCCTGAGCTTTGCAGTCTGGCCAGCTGAGACCACGAAAACATTGATTTTACGAGTTACCTTGGTGTCAAACACAGCAGAAAGCCATATCTTCCGCGTTTGGTTAACCTTAAGTTGTATTTGCCAAGGTCACACAATCATGCGTATCTGTACGTCCATCAGAAATACGACAACCAATCCGTGTAAGAGACTTAATGCTCATGCTCCACTTTGATTTGCAGGGGAAAAAATCAATAACTAATGAGGCTTCAGTAAGTTGCCGATCACCCAGAATAAGAATAATCCTCTGAATAACCAGCAATACTTGATCACTTCATCGACCACTTAAACCCACGCAAGTGGCGAAATTGAAGGGCTTCGGTGCGAAGCCTGGTCGGAAATCACCACGGAAACAGTTGTTCTGTTATTAAAACCGCACAACCATTTGTTTGTCTGTACTCGTTTTGTTGGAACACAATTCAAAATCTCCAATTGTATTTACAGTTTAACATTCACCGTTTACGCTATTTACCGTCGATTTCGGCGCGTATATCCACAATGGCTTGTGCTGGCGTTATTTATAGACATCCCTGCTGTCCAGAAACGCATATCGATCCGGAGAGGAATCATTTTTGCGGCGCTCACAACTTACCTTCCACAGCAAAGCTGGTTTGTAGGTGATCTTAGTGTCTAAATGTCAAAGGGCTCACCTAACTCGCGGTCCACTGTCGTCGTTACTTGAGGAGCCCTCGAATCGTGGAATGCGTCGGCGGCTAGTCCTTTTTCTTCTACCGCGATTCCGCCCACTGGTTGCTCGACGACGCAGGCCCCGGGATCTCCGACCGACCTCCCAACTGTTCTCGGACGACGGCGGATCTTCCGAGGAGGCAGAAGGCGACGCTAACTCGTCATCTTCCTCCTCCTCGTCGTCCTGTTCATTCGACGGCTGGAAGTCCTCACTGCCAGAAGAGACACGTCTGCGCCGGCGCCGTCGTCCCGCCCCGTCAGACTCCGAGGACGACGACGACGAGATGGCCTTTTTGCGAACAGCTTTGTGCAAAGGCGCGCCGATAAGAGGAGGACCGTTGGAGCCCACGTCGTCTAGCGACTCCGCTGGCGGATTCTTCTTTACCTGGTCACGCTCCAACTTCTCCATGGCGTACTTTTCGTCGGCAGCGAGCATCTCGTCGAGTTCCTCGAAGGCCGCGTTCACATTGTAGCGGACACCTTGTCGACGAGTGGCGCGAATACGCGGTGTTTCCTCCGCCGCTGCCGCCTCCTCCTCGCCCTCCTCGGACGAAGCGCTGCTGTTGTTGTACCGCGGACGCTTTCGCTTGAGTCGTGACGCGGTCTTGTCGTCACTGGCGTTGCTGCTTCCTCCACTGGAGTCACTGTCGCTGTAGTAGGACTCGCTGTCGTCCACGGCGGCGGCGGCGGCTGGAGGCCGTCGCGTGCGTTCGTCTCTCAATATGTTGGTGACACTGATGTTGACGAAGTTGAGCCGCTCTTGCATCCGCGCGGCGCTGTCCGACTTCCTGCTCTTGGCCTTCAGGCTCACCAGCTGCTCGGAGAGGGCTTCGACGAGGCGAGAGTGCAAGCACCGCGGACAGAACCAATCGCCCTCAGGGATGAGGTGGAGCGGAGGTCGAAGACACTGGGCGTGGAAGCCCAGATCACAAGAATCGCAGAGCAGTAGCCACTCAGGGTGGTTCGACTTGGTGCAGATCTGGCAAGGAGCCTCGTCCAGGGCTTGGGCCTTCTGGCGCTGAAGGTTCCGGCCACCCGCGACCGGCTCGTCCACGTCCTCGGCGTTCGGGTCGAAGTCGCTCTCAAGATCCTCGAGCCAGTCCTTGGGCGCGTGCTTCTCGTCCTCTGGCAGGGAGGAGTTGCTGTTGTCGTCGTCGTCGGCTAGCCCGTTGTTCAGCATTTCGTCAATCGCATCGGTCCAGGCGTCGTCCTCGGTGTTTGACTCTTCAAGCGACCGAGCCCACGGCGAGCCATTCCCGTTACCCCCATTCTTCGATTTCTTTCGCCGATGCTTTTTCTTGCTTCGATTAGCCTTTTCCTTTGTCCTGCCCCTCTCGCGCTTCTTGTTCTTCTTCTTTTTCTTTGAGCTGGATGGCTTCGCGCCAGACACAGAGTTGGACGAGGAGCCCTTCTTTGCACGGGGCTTGGAACTCGTGAAGGCCTCCATGGTGAGAAACTCAACCTGCTTGCGTAGGCGGCCACTGCGACGCAGACAAGTGGGCTCCTTGGCTGGGTGCTCAGCAGTGCTACAAAAAACGAGGCGATTGCGTTACGAAGGATGTAAGTACTACGACACCAAGGAAACGATTGACGTGCACGGGGCTTAAGGCTACACGGAAACCGACCAACCAGGTAGTTGCTGGTGTATAGGTGAAAATCAATCCCCACTCACTCGGTGTCTTTCTGAGGGCAAAGCGGTTCTTCTTCAAACGTAGCTGACACCGCGGCTCTAAAACAGGTAAAATCAAACACGTGTTGTGGAAAAGCATCGGAATAGCAGATATCAACATTTACTGGAGAAAAAACATTTCTACTTATGGCCGTTATAAGTAGAATACAGATAATAACGTTTGCGGGGCAAAATGAAGTTAAATTGCACGACTTAAGGTCGAAAATTTAGAAAAACATAAATGAGCAGTACATTAATCGCAGACAGCGGTGGTCGGCACTGTCTAAATTCTCCGACATATCACCCACGACACAAAAACAAGTCGAAACCACAAAAAAGATTTGGGTAGTGATAGTAAGTGGTTTAAGTTGAATCAGGATCGATGAAGCTGAACAGAAGAGATGGCTGATTGAGTTCGTGCCAAAGTAACCAATCAACGCTTAGCAGGAAGCTGATTGGTCCTTCCAATGGTCCAATGGTCAACGAAGACTTCCCCTTTTCGAAGGAATTTTGATTTAATTCAGCAAAGATTAATAAGAAAATGTCTCTTCAACGTGGTAATGCATTAATTGGGCGCAATTCAGCATCCCCTGGCAAAGGATGACATTATTGGGTGAAGTGGTTTAATACCGAAGGTAATTAAAGAAGATATTTCCCACACACTTGTCGACGCCTGCCTCCATCTCTGGCTTCTCTTCTTCTTCCTCCTCCTCCCCCGCCTCCTTCACAGCCGCTTGCTCCTCGCTATGCACCACCGCCTCCGATTTGCCACAACCATCGGGTTCTTCAACCTTCACACGCTCCACACCCTCGATGGGCTTCGTCTCCTCGACGTCCGACGACGGCGCGTCCATCGATTCCGGTGGTTCGGGCTTCGGGACGTATCCACAGGACGAATAGAGCTCGGACAGGGGCGTTTTCGCGTACTTCTCGTCCTTCAAGCCTTCTATCACACCTTCCAGAGACGCAAAAGTGTCACTGATGAGCTGTGTGAGAGGGAACGGGTAGAAGTCACTTAGGTACTATCGGGGCTACTTGGTGCGTCTCCTTTACGCACTTTTGCATGGACCTTAATCTACGAGTACCACCGAGACGAAACTACTTATATCTACTTCAGCGACCCGTGATAGTAGAAGTGGGCGACTGAAGTTTGGCTCATTTAGTAGTGCTCACTGACTGCCTTCCCACTGGTTGAGTTCGCTCTATTCATGCATCGGTTCGAGCTACACGGACCACCTGTAACACTTACTTCTTAGCCTTGACTTAACCTTTGTTTTACTACACTGGCTTCGTTGGAACACTATTCAAACCCACCACTAGCGGCGTGTTCCTCTATTTGTTGAATACATTCGTTGTTCACTCAATATATTGTCGCAATATAATTGCACAAAAGGTTTCAAGTTTCGGATTGTCATTGTCATTCACCAATCCGAGCAAGTTAATCTGTCTGGACGAAGCTACTTATATTCATTTCAGCGACCAGTGATTCTACTTAATGAAATAGGATACTTGCAACTGAACACTTTTTTTGTTATTCGGTGCGACATACCTTGAGTGTCGAGTCATCCGCAGATTCGCAATACAACAGGAAGTTGAACTCAGTGTCAATGAGGAGCCAGTAGGCATTGCCCAAGACGTCCACTCCAAAGGGCCTGGAACGCAGAACATGCGCATCGATGGTCTTCACCTTCTCCTTGAAGGCAGGATTAAGGTGAAACTGGGCTTCCAGGCAGAAGAGAAGGACGCGAAGACGAAGCTCAAGCGGCAGGGAGAAGAAGGGGGAGGAGGGGGCGGCGGCAGTGGTGGAGGTGGTGAGGGGAGAACTTCTACTAGGACCGTTCAGATCATTGCCGACACCGAGCAAGTCCTCGCTGTTGTAGGCGTAGCGCTGAAGGAAACGACCAAGTGCCGGTTGCCAACGGTTCAACTGCGTCCGGATTCGCATCTTGTTCAAAAGCTTCACTAGCAGTGTCGTCAGGGACTGAAGGTCAGCTGTGACACGGTAAAAAAGCAATATCAATGCATCTAGAGCTTGTTTTAGCATTTGCCAATTCGAAATAACGAATGTAATGTTCAAGCATATTTAAAAGCCTTCACGGGAAGAAAGTTTAAATCGGAAAACGGTTTTTGAACTAAACGAGGGCTTGGATTTCGAGGACATCAATAAAGCAACCATGAGGTGATTGTTTGTAGGTTTGGTGGGTCTTCTACTCATGCTTTCACGTTTAACTATTATCTACACATTCCATTTGCAATGTTCACTAGCGCAAGTATTACCACACACAAACGAGCGTGACTTATCGCTGAATAAACGGTTGCGTCAAATCTCGTGGTGTCGCAGAATCAAAAATCTGTTTTAAGCTTTTACGGGATTCAATGAACAAATCGAAACTACTTATGCCTCATTAAAAAGCCGTAGCCGCGTCAAGAACTCTCAATCCGCCATTTTAACACGTGGCCACAGCGCACTAGTCTTCGCTGTTCAGGCGAAACTTCAACCTTACAATTCCTCTACACTTCGATTGTAAAGAGATCTTGTGAATCGGTAAAATGCCTAGACTACAGTAAAAAGTGAACACAATAATGAGAAAAGCTGAAGTCAGAAAGCAAACACAGCGGCAGGCAATAATTCATTAATTCAACAATATTTATTGTTAAATAGACAGCAATTTTGGTAATAAACCAGAGGGGGCACAAAATCTATGTTGGCTACACACGAAAATCAACGATTTCGATAACATGAGTGAGGAAGTTTGACATTTAGAACATTACCAAAGGCACAACGGTATTTTGCTTTATACGCAAGCAAACTAGACATAAAAACTCGGTGCAGAGAACACAATTTACCGATAGTGAGGGCTAAATGATCCTAATAGGTAAGGCAATCAATTTGTATTCAGTGTAGCGTTAGGAGAAAGTGCTCGTTACAATACACTTCTTACCATCGGTTTCACATGACAGCAGGCGGGCTACTCTAGGAAATGTGAAGAGCACTCCAAGTTTCTCACCAAAGTAGTGTATGAAGCAACAAACCTCAGCGAACTCCGGGAGTTCATAGATTTTAAAATTTCTAAAAAAGAATACAAAGCAAGAAATACAAAATAATCATAAGATTGTAAAGTGTTGGATTACATCGATCGCATTTCTTGCAGTATTGTAAATTAAAAATTTAAAAGCTATGTACTGAAAACCACAAGGATGTAGGGAGATCTGTTCAGTAATGTGCAAAAATGGCAAAATAAGTAAATAGGTCAGGTAGGTATTTAAAATCATAAACCAAATTGAAGGTATTACCGGTTTGTTTAAGATGTGGTGCGTAGGAAGCAAACTATGTACTATAATGCACCCTACAGCATAAAAAAGACAGCAAAACAACTAGACTGCTACATACTTAGGTGGTGCTGCAACAAAAAGGACAAAAATGGAATACATTTCAAGCTATAGTCGCCAAACACAGCTTTATAAAAATGACACCGAATCAATGCGCACACAACAATTTTAAAAATGTCGACAATCTATTGCAATACAGGCAAGTACATAAGTGTATAAGGAAAAGTGGATTTAAATCACATTCGAAAATAAATCTGATAGAATTCCAAGTGCAAAACACAAAAACTTTCATATAAAAAAGGTGTGCTTGCATAAAATGACATACATGCTTTTATTTTCAACAGCATTACTACTATCCGGGCAGGGTTTTAGGCTGTACATCTTCCAAATCTCATTATCAACTTTAACAAAGGGTAAAAGCAACGGATAAAGATAAAGTGCACAGTATAGGCCGCATCAGCCAATAAATTCCTTCTTTGGCCGTATTTAGCCTATACTCACAGATTTTTAGACACTGCACGCAAAATAAAATGATTCTACGATAATCTAATATTTCCGAAAATGTTGCATTATATCGTAAATCATTTAATTGGAATATAAAAATAGTTAGCATCAGATCGCAAAAGTTAATGAAAATAAGGGGGTGAATATTAAAAGTGTAGGAATAAATATACAACTTCGTTTAAAGCTTAATACTAAGCAAAACATTTTTTTCAAAAGTATTTAAGTTGTATTTAAATTTTGAGTTTAATAAGTAAAGTTAACCTAGCTGACAAACTAAACCTGATTAACATGAAAAGAATGCATTTCTTGACCACGATAATTATTTTATACCTTTCGATTATGTACATCTTTTAAGGAGTATCTTAAAAAGCAATGTTTTCGCCTAAACTGATAGTTCCCATTGTAGTAAACTTTCGAAATAACCTCATCTACTACATTTTAATCGATCATTATGTCCGTAATAATGGAATGCGACGGTATGACCTAGCAGATAAGATTTACTATCTTCCTATCTCACCGCGATTTTATATAAAAGATAAAGCATTGTGCTCACCGTACATACAAATCCAAGATAATTCTATTGATAAATGCAATTTTTTAACGATGTTTGTATGATGTTCATTGTTTTAATGTTCGCATCATTCATTCATTGCAAGATGCTAGGGCTTCAGATTTGTGTTTATTACTTTTGCTTGCCTTCCGATAGTTGTGTTTATAGGTTTCGAACTTCGCAGTTCCTTCGACCATGTTCCTCGGAATGTTTAGAATATATCTTTAGAGTGACGTGAAAGCGACAACGTTAAATTTGCTGATATTGACACTTTGGTTTACGGAAGTGGAATATCTTACTTCTGTAGTTTTCAATTTTGGCATCAAAAACATGTTTTTGTTGCATAGTCTCGGGGTTAACTAGTTTTTTTATAATATTTTGTAATCGATTGGATTCTTAAGAGATTAGCACATATCGATGCATGATCGGAAATTCAGGAACATAATTTTTTAATTTATCCGTCAGATGAATAGGCATCCTTAATCAATAGTAAATTTCAAAAAAGTATCCTCGCTGGTTTATTTTTATGTGATTGAATGCACAAGTTCTTTGAAAGAGTGCTTCTAGATGCAATTGATAATTTAATTGATATTAAAATCGATTTATTAGTTAATTACTTCATTATTGTATCAACGCTTCTCGCAGTATTTCTTTTAATGCCCTGAGCAGATATTTTTTTCGATGTGTAGGATGTGAGTATGAAGTAAATTACAATTATTTAACAACCCGACTCGCTTCCAATTGGACAAATTCAAACTTTTGAAACACATAATTTCAACCAATGTAGTCATGGATGGTCTATAAAAAATTTTCGCTTGTTTCGGACTAAATTTTAGCCATCAGGCCCCCAAAAGATTGGGTTTTATTAATCTAGGCTTAGGATTACTTATGTTGAAAAACGAGTTTTTCGATATTCGCACTTCGACGACATTTACTAAGAATTCTTCAATATACTATCGTGGACCATGTCATGCAATGGCAATAATTCCTTATGAAAATATAGTTCTCATACTGTGATAATAACTTCACTTGAATTTACTTAGACGGAGCACTTTTGTATGAAAATGCTTTTTTTGATGCGTTAACATATCGAAGGGGATAATTGTTTCCGCATAAAGATATGATGAATACTGTCCGATATTACCTTGCAGCACACACTAAATGCTGATAACTTTAAACCAAAATTGAGGTGTTTGATAACAAGGTGCCCATTAAAAATTTTACATCAAATCTGCCATGGGACTACCGTTTTAGTAGCAGGTTTTATTTACAAATATCTCAATTTTCAGTGGCATTTTATGAATAGCATGCAACATTAACATTATTTCCTTACAAACAAGACCATAATAATTTGTACAAAGAAGGCCATTTCCACTTGAATCTTGTTTATTTTTCAGATGGGCCTTACTTCCATTTTTAGAAAAATACCGTTCATTTTCTAAGGCATCTTAAAAACAGGCAGTACGCTATGGATTTTGCTAGTAAAATTGGAAAGAGACAGTAAGTTATGGAGTACACACAAGTTTGGATCTTACGCTCTCATTATTCTCGAGGGCGTTGGTAAACAGGAATTTTGTCATTTGAGATAGTTGTTAAGCAATCGAAGGTTCATTTGTGCTTAAAAACGCTCCATTTGCCCGTAAATAACCTTAACCTGTGATATATTCAGTTGAGTTGATGCTTAAATCGGTTACGCGTTTGACACCAGGACACAACCGTTGTCAGCCTCATCTTTTATGATCGATGATGTCACTCTAAGTTGACAACTGGTCTTTGATCACTTAAAACTGGGGCTCCTTACCAACCCGTTGAGGTCTGATCAAATTAGGTCACAAATTGGTCGCGCACACAAATACGCCTCGATATTGTTAATATCATTGCAACAATTAAACATAGAAAAACTTTAATTTTTGCAAACATTTCATAACACTTAGCTTTGTACCAGTTAACAGAGGACCATTGCATCACGCATTTTCGTGATCTATCGAGGAACGACGGCATCTGACGACGATCGATAAATAAGTGGCTCAAGAACGTCGTTCATTGGCCACGACATAATTTGACCATTTCACTTCGCGGAAAATTTAGACCGTCGATATCTACAAATCGGAGGCCCGACTTCTACTAATCACATGCACAACGCGCGTTGCAACGAAATAAACAGACGTGTTTATCGGACGGGGTTGCGTGTGCGTCAACAAGCGAGAGAATCGTTTAGCAGCTGCACTTGATTGGGCTACGGACAGCATCCATGCGACATGCAAAACAATGGGGCAAATTAAAAACAATTCTTTCCAGCACGGTGCAAGGACGACAGTAGCGTAAGCGAAATTTGTCGCAGTCCACTTAAAAAAAGGCTAAACTGGCTGATGCGCAAGCGTAAGAGAGACGCGTCAGATAATTTGTAAGCGCGATGCGGCCAGTTCTTTTCGTGGACTAAAAGGAAGTCGCGTGACAACGACCTTTATGGTAAAGGGAGCGTATTTCATCTGAAAGACAGGCAGATAGAGGAAGCTCTGGATTAGTTTGAATAGACGAGAGAGCAATTGGGAGATGTCAAAGATAGTGAAAAAACCGTTCTTCCTATCCCATTAAGTGGAGAATTCCGTAACTCGAATCAAAGCTTGTGTACGTATCATAGAAATCAACTAATAATTTCCGGAACCGTACAATCCTACATCCGATTCTTCGGTCGGGTGGTTTGTGAGCTAAAGGAAATTAATTCTGG